GCGAGCTTGATAATTGCGACGAATAAATAAAAGGACTCAACAGTGCAGAATATACGCACATAAAGAAAACGTACCTTTTGCTGCATTGCATGTCTTACATTTATATTTTGATTCAGCTCCATATGAACATCTGATTTTCAATATGGCATTTATTCCGAATTGAAACACTTGCTGTACCATTTAATTAGTACTCATATGTATGTATGCTTGTAGAAACGGGTGGCTTAGATGTAACAACAACACATCACATTATCCTGAATTCCATGCACGCATACACACAATAAGAGGCCAGAAGGATGTGACACAAGCGATTTATCGAAAATTACATTCCGTAACAAATTCATTTTATTGCATCTGGATTTTAATTTTAAAAAAACTTTCACTAAATACATCAGTTTTGCACCATTTTCTTTAGCCTTTCTAAAGAGCCAACTTTCTCCTTCCTTCTACTTTAGAATTAATTCATTAAATTCCCATCTCATTTTGTGTGACTTCCGATAGAAAACTTTCACACATTCAGCAATGTGTTACTTTTGCGCTATTTCGCATAAAATTCCATTAAAATCTCCTAATTTATTCCGAATTTGTTTAAACGGAGGCTTTCAGTCTATTTTACTTTGCACACATACTTGAGTAATTAAAATGATTAAACAATCGTAATATTTGCATTATTTCTTTGGAATTTTTGTTTAAATTTTGCGACAAATTTCCTTCATGTCAAACTTGGATGAATAAATAGAAAATCGCATCGCAACGCACAAAGCATCATCATCACGGTTCACTGTCAATGGGATAAAAGTGTTTTCAACCATATGCGCTTGATTCGTGCCACCACTAATGTCAATTACTTTTGAAATATTATAATTTATCTTTTTTTTGCACATCAAAAATAAATTGTTTCGTGATTTCGTCTTTTTTTTGGGCAAAAGCGTGATATTTTTCATAAAATGTTGACATATATATGTGAGATCGTGAATCATGTACTTTTCGCCGAGTGCGGAATAATGGGTGTTAAAAATCTTTTGTGCATGGTACCACAGAAAGAGACAGATTCCATTACGTTGTGATACCATGCGATGATTCATGCTTGACTTGCCGCCAAAAGAAGAATACAGTCGCAAAAGACTATATCAGACTTGCCGAAAAAAAAATATGTGCAAAAAAACTGAGAATAAAAGTATTGAGTAAAGTTTTCAAACGGCAAACAAAACGGCCACAATTTCAGTGAATCAGTAAAAAAACACATACGCTATAAACATGCAGTGATAATTTATCAAAATTACAATAATTCATGCGAATATAAAATGATGGGCTTCTTCATCGTGTCAATATAATTAAAATTGGCTGCATTATTCTTGTTATGCTTTAATAAATAACTTGAGGCCACGCATAAGAGACAGGTGCACGAGCGTATCATGTTAGTGTTACGAATCGCGCGACCTGCCATTTCTGCAGCACGTTTAGCACCGGGAAATTTTTTTTCTTACGGCCGATTTGATATGGTAGATAAGACTGTGAAACGTCCAATAAAAATCATCTTTCAAATCGTCTTCCAAAGGAAATACGAAAAAAATACATAACAAGCAGTTAATATGAATGCATTCATTTTCATTTTGCAAATATAAACAAGAAATTAACAGTCGCCGAGAAATAAACAGACGGGCTGTTCACGTAGCCCTTGACCTCGCCACGTGATGATAGATTGCAGTGAAAAACATCTTTGGATATACCACGCGTTGCTTTCTTGAAAGTATTCCTTTTTACTTGCCATTTTCAAGTGGCTGTTTTGCAAACAACAAAATTTACACAATTTGAATTTTTTACTGAAATGTAAAATGATCATTTAAATTATCAAGAATCGTACATATCGCTCGATACTTGTCGATTAATATCAAGTGGGCCACACATTTTGTATTAATTTCTAATTCTATTTCAACGCTTTCAAATAAACGAGTCAAGTTTGATAGCTACAAGAATTAATTCAAAATCAATAATACTTGAACTCCTTCTCTCTCTTCTTCTTCTCTGTCCTTCCATTTGTCTCAAGGAAAGAGGGAGAAAACATGTTTGTATTTCAATTGAGGAAAAAGTTTAGCAACCATCGAAATGGGGAGCATCTGCGCCTATGCACACGAAATTCGTCTGCATAATTGAAAGCAAATGATGTATGGATTCGGAATCGAACTTTGCATACAATTGGTTGGAAACGGTTCGGATTTGAATTGGCGCAGTGGAAAACTTTTCGCCAATTGTTTTCTACCATGCAATGCGTCTCGTTACTTTTCATTTTCTTTGCAACTTTTTCATTAAAACTATTCTTTCGCAAAACTCGCCGAAATGCGTATATTAAAAATATATGTGCATAGAGAGTTGTGAGCGAGAATGCGAGATTGAAATAAGGCAAGGGGAAAGATAGAGAAAGTTTTTTTTTAAATCCAATTCAGAATAATGCCAAAAATGTGTACTGATGCAAATGCAGCACAAAATTGCACGGAATAACTATAAAGAATACCTGTATTGTAATTAGTGCAAACCAAATACGGTCTTGCCGTTTCAGCTTTTTGCCGATTTCACAGTAACTGCACTGGTGCACTCAATTACATTATAAGAGGTCAACAAGTCAAAGTCCTCAAAATAATCGGCCAAATCAATGTACAAAATAGTGTAATGTAATTTATGCATCTAAACCTACGGTCTGAAACCAAAACAAAAAATACATTCAACTAAACCAAAATTGCTGTCGCATCATGTGATACGATTACACTATTGACTATGGGTTTATAAAAAACACGATTCATGGCATGATGTTCACGATATGGTTTAGTTCAACTTACACAAGATTTATGCTAATTTCATAGACTACAAATGCATGCCGAATTACTGTTGGATTATTTGCTGCGCAATACTTGAATACATTTTCAGCCAATTAAAATCCAATGATTTCCAAGGTATTTGAATGGTATGAAAAGGACGCCCCGTGTACAAAGAGATAGACAAAGAGTTAAGACTTGCTTGTGACATTTTAAGCCTTGGTCGATGCATAGAGAATAGTTATTTAGCACACCTTCCATGAATTATGAATAGAAAATAAAGACACCATTTGACTTGTTTAGCAAAGAGATGAATAAAATGACAGCAGATTTTGCTTAGAAATCAAATTATATCGCATCAGGTATCAAAAAAGAAAAACAAGAGCTGTGAAAAGTAAAGCTTCTTATAACAAATTCTAAAGAAAACTATGTTTGGTGATGGATGTCATATTCAGACTCACTATTACTTTGAAGACAAAAATCTCTCGTTCATACAAACAATTCAACGGATTGTTCATTGTAAAAAATTCTACTCAATTCATTGGAATGTGCCTAGTGCGCCATCTGTTGAACATAAAGTACAGTCGAATATTGAAAATAGACAGAAAACACACGATCAAGCTGAAACTGAACACAATATTTCTTTTCATTACTATTTTTAAATGATAAAAAATCAAAAATAACAATATTTCATCAAGACTGCATTGGATTTAATGGAAAATAACCAAAATTATAAATTTTACTCATTGATAAAAAGCTTTCGTTGAATTTTTAACTCGAATGTGCTTATTTTCTGTGCGTTAAACACTTTTGACTGTATTTCATGCTCGCCTTAATTGAGCAGCAAATAGAGAGTGGTGAGTGAGAGCCGAACTAAAAGAGAAAATATCAACATGAAATGTCAAACTGAAAAGGCTTCAGTTTAGTTTGAGTTTCGTATTGGTTGTGTTGTGTTTGTAATAAGAAAAAAAAATGTAAAGTTTTCTATTTGTCGTATGAATAATATGGTAAAACTGAATATTTATTAAAATCTTTATGGCTAGGCAATTGTACTAATTGGTTTAATTCAATCGTGGCATAACTAAATCGCAAGTGAATTTTATCTTGACCATTTCATGCTGGTCTTGATCTATCGATCTTGAATTGTATTTGGAAATCAATTTATCAAATCAAATTCATAAATTCCACTAAGAATATGATGGTAATTCTGTATAAAATGAATACACAATTTGATTTTAAATTGAAATATGGGGTTGAGCCATCGGAATTGAGAAAAAAAAAATTGATGTAAAGTAAGAACATTAAGAAATACGGCGACAGTAATAAACAATGTAATGTATAACAATGTATGGCCAAATAACAAAACTATGCAATACATACAAAGCAAAAGATCCAATGTACACGGGCATCAGAGTCGAATACGAATCGTTTGTTGTATGAGAGGTGTGCAGTGCCGTAAACAATGAAGCAAGTTGCATTTAAGTGCAGAGAGTTAGGTTGTGATTTCAATTCCAATACACACACACACACATGCTCCGATACATTCTTTCGGTCGACTGTGCGACTGGCACGAAGCTACAGATTCAATGGATATCAGTGCAACGCACAGAAAATTCATTCGTTCAATCGGTAAAGATAAAAATAAAGGAAGACACAGTCAATGAACATCATCGAGAATTGACCAAAAAAAAAACAAACATGTACGCATACACACTCAAACTCCAATATACAAACACATTCGTCCATTGCGACGGGAATAACGATAAAAATACATTTTTTCCGTAATTTTTTTTAAAGGTTAAACGTGAAAATCGAATTGAAACAAACTGAACAACACAGCAAGTGAAATTGCCGTATTGAAACGAGAGCGAAACAACGCGATTAAGTCTAATGAAAATAAAAGAAGAGTGTGTATCGGTAATTCTTTTTTTTCTTCTTCATCGTTTCTCATGTAAGTGCATCGAGCGTGCGACAGGTGTTTTTTTCTCTCACTCGGTTCATATTCACTTCGGATTTGATTGCTCTCTCTGTCTTGTGTGCACCTCTTGTGTGTGGTTCGGTGCGGTTCGGTGTATGTATGCAATACGCTTCACTGCTGCTCATTTGTTTGTTACATGAATTCGACCGACGTTCATATATATATTTAGTATTGTTTGTCTAACGAGAATGGCTGGTGCGTTTTGTTCATAATTCGTTGAATAGTGCGTGCATACCGCTTTTTTCCCGTCTGCAACTGGATTTTTTTTTTCGTTCTTTGTCTACTTCGTCAGTTTGTGTTTTTCTCTCGTTCGCGTGTGTTTGTATCTGTATTTGGAGTTCGTGTTCCGAATGAGTGCATTGTCGCCTCTTTATGTATACATTGAAAAATCCGGATGCAAAAGAGTTTCGAACCCAAAGAATGTTTGTGACATTTTCAATTGATTTGCTAATTTTTTTTTAATTAAAAAGAGAGCTACATCATAACCAAAAATTTGTTTGAAAAAAAAAAAGAAAACAAGAAAGTGTTCCATCAATCGAACGTGAGAACGTAATGTAGAATGACTAAAAATGTTCTTTATACACCTACAATTTAAATTCGGATCCATATTTTCAGCGCCATTATATTAATGTCATCGTTTAATGCCGAAGCTCACGATAAAAGAGGCATGAATTCACAAAACCGACGTATTTAAGTTATAAAACACGAACGATTTCAATCGTACATATATGTTTTTTTTTGTTCTGCGCTTGATTAATTTGTAAAAAAATTTGAGTTTTCCTTGCAAAGCGAAAAAAACAACAACATTCTCTTGCGTGTGTGTAAATATACAAATATTCGTGTGTATCGTTGACAAAATTGAGTGTTATCGTATAACAACGACAGATTTAGTATACGTGTGTTTATATGTACTTAGTTCGTAATGGATTTTCGATATAAAATTGTGTTCTGCTGGTGTTGTAACATTTTTAAATCAAAGAAAAAGAGAAATTCTACTTAGAAATACAGTTTGAATAGAAACTTTAAACGATTTTGCAAAAAGAATGTGTTCGATTTAGTTTCATGTGTACATGTAAAAAAAAAACAAAGTGAGTGGCTATCGATTACGATTTAAAGAGAGAAAAAACCACCTACAAAATTCGACACATGGCCATTTGAGTTTTGCCACGATATTTTTTATTTGTTGTTAATATTATGCTAGTTGTGACATTGTGCGAATCTTAAGCGATTTTAATAAAGTTGATATTCTTGTTTTTTTTTCTCTTTCATTTATTCAGTGTGAGAGAAGAACGAAAGAGAAGATTGAACAAAAAAGACGTGAATACCATCTGATCGGAATTGTGGGATATTGACAGCTCAGCGAAATAAAACGCCGATTCCAATAAATTAATTCAATTCCAGCGTGAAGAAAACACAAAAGTAACAAAAACACATGAAAAAATGCCATTCAAAATCAAGCTGAAAAAATCACGGCATTATAATGTCACATCGAAGAGTTTGTTCGTAATATCTGTTCATCATTTGCTGGGTAAATATTTGCGCATATTTTAAATTCCATCGAGAGTGAAGGCTTTAGATATAAACAGTGATCATTGTTGTGTTTTAGTTTTGTTGTTGGTCTTCGTGTAAGAGAGTTACGCATATTGGGGAGAAAAGAAGAAAAAGTAGAAAAATAAGAAGAAAGATGAGATAGAGCGAATCGAAATACACGAACATACGAAACAGAAGAAAAAATTGCGGCAATCAAAATAGTCATCATGTGTGAAGAAATAAAGTTGTGTATTCGCTGTCTCATTACATTGGCATTGCAAAAGTGCTTGTAAAATGTGCGAAAAAAATTCTTTGATTCTATTCATTTATTTGCCAATTATGTTTGTCTTTCTGTGCACATCAAAAACTGAGAAAGACGTGATTGGCGAATTACCGGCGCATACACACTATACCACCGTCTTATTATTTCTGTTTTCATTGTTTCACCTGATAATTTTCTTGTAATTCATTCGCATGGTGTTTGTATATAATTAAATTATTTCGCGATTATTTACATGAATACAAATTGTTCGCATCGTCTAAATGCACATGTGTACAATCGTTTACCTTAATAATGTAGCTGTTAATAGCAAAGAAGTGTTCGATTACCTTTCCTTCTTCTCTCTCTCTCTCTCTCTCTAAATATCCGCGTTACTGTTCAACGATTTCGAAAATATTTCTCTCGTTTTTAATTTTCGTTTTGAATCAGTACACGCATGTCTTCGATGATTTTTTTTTTACCTCAATCACTTAATCAAAAATGAAAATCCATTCGTATGAAATTTAGAAATTTTCGCTTGCATTTCAATTGTTTAATTACATATATTAATTGCACCTTTTCATTCATGGTGCGATACTACCACATGTTTTTATTTTTTTTTTTTAAATGGATATGGTTCCGTTTTATGGTGCCAATGAATTCCAACGAGTTGAGAAAGCGCATTTTTATCGCGTACCGAAATTTGAATAAAACACTTCCAAGCAATTGTTCGTCATATTGTTTAATGGCCGATAACATTTGAGATAATGATATTCCATCGGAAATTCCTAGAGTAAAACAAATCCATCGCTCACTTTGATATTTATAAATATTGGCGTTTATTAATAAACAGTGTATAATTATTTCACATGTTTTTTTGTTTACCATATTCCTCAAAATAACTTTACATATATTATATCTGTCTCTGGCATTCATTTTTATTGGCGAAACTGCCAAAATTCAAGGGAATGTTGAACACGTGATGAGAATTTTTCTTCAATTTTTTTTTGTTCCTGCATTTTTTCCGATTCAATTTGAAATTCTTAGCGGTTCAAGCACATTCCAAATGTGTATAGAAATACATGCTTCAGGCATTTAAATGTGACATTGGATTGTCTTTTTTTCTTTATTTGCAGCCGATGATAGACTTTCGCAAAAAAATGCGATGTGTTGTGATGTTGGCGTGTTTTTTTTTCTTGCAATCTTCCCACACTGGCAATGCTTGAGTGCAACCGTAAAATCTATAATTGCGCGCCCAATTCATATAAATAAAAATACGTGTAATTTCGTTGAGAAAACAAAATAAAATGTAGCCCAGTAAAAAGCAGCCATGAACCAGATTATGCATTTACATATCGTTGCAATACATATGTGTGTCATTCGAATATTGAAATGCGCATTTTGCATATTTGAATATTCCTTCATTTTGTGACAACATACAAACGTTTCTTTTTCTTTAAACAAAAAATAAAAGATTCAAACAGTTGTTGTTGAATCGAATAACATCCGATAAATGAAAAACTTTGAATAGTAATTTTCTTTGCAAATGGTGCACGAAGCAAAAAGAATCGTCTGAATATATTCTACTTTAAAAGAAAATAAAATAAACTGCAATCGGACGACAGCAACGAAAAAAATCGAATGAAAAGTTTTGTTTGTAATATAAAAACTTTGTTTTATTTTTTCAATGAAAGCATTTGTTTGTATACAAGCATGAATTAAACCGAATGTGATCTCTGTTTGTTCGTTATATGTGTTTTCAATCTGTCTTTAAATTTATGGCTACTGCAAGATATTGTCCTATTTTCAAATGATACACAGAATGGACAACAAATAAAAAAAAAAAACACAACGAACAAAATCAATACGACATGTGCTGACACAGAAACAATGTGTTTATAACCGATTCACAATTTTGTTTGGCCGTGATCATTCCGAACGGATTCCATTCCGTTCATAATCAAAAGCACTGTGTTCCGGCCGCATGTGTTTCACTGGCCTGATAAATTCCGCTTTCTTTCTTTCAACGAAAACCGTTTGTTTGTTAAAAAATATATATATTGTATTTTGTGATTTTAAGATACCATGTTTCGCAGTCATGATATTATTGTGTACGATTGCAATTTTCCTTTTATTGGCAACCATTTTTATTGCAGACCTATTGTTGTTATTCGATTCAGCAAATTCAGCTGTTTTTCTCTCTCTCTCACTTTTTCTCTTCGTTTTGTTCGTGTATTCTATGTGCAATGCATGCATTTACAAAGTTTATATTTTAAAGACACATAAACAACAATGAATTAAATGGACTTTAAATTACTTGAACGTTAGCGTGCATCGACAAACTTAATCGAAAGAAAGTCAGTTTGGAATTAATAATAATCAAAAACTTTTCACATCAGTTCAAACAAAGAAAAGTTTTTCACATTTGAAAGCAGTCTTTTCTTCCGGTCTAACAACTTTTACTTAATCATTTTGTTTTTTTTTTTCTACCGTTTGTTATCTTAATCAAAAAAATAAAGATCTTGAACTATTTTCGAGACAAATGCTTATGCAATCTTGCGCCTAAAATTCTGTCAACAATGTAATTGAAGTGGAAGTCTTTATTTCAAACGCTACATTGTGTAGCATTAAAAAGTATTTTGCATTAAATGAAGGACATGTATGTATTTTTTCTTCTTCTTTTCTTAAAGAATTTGCTTAATTTCGAGTTAAATTAACGGCATTCATTTGAATTGAGTCAGAAAATTTATGAATTATATGCGCCAAAACGAACAATTTGTGGTTGTGTTGACCTTTTGAATGTTTGATGCGCAAACTAATAATTTATTATTATAGTTTGGTCTGTGCACAGTATTGAGTCAATTGTGTGTTATGACAATTTTCATGTATTTTGGAAGCAATGACTTTTAACATAAACAATTGTCGTATGCGCCTTTGTTTACATAACAAAATTACATGCTATTTTTGCCATTCGCCTTTGAACGACAACCGCAGTTCATTGTTTATTAGAATTATTTAGCAGCCAGACCAAAACGCATTAATAGAGACATAAATCTATGGCTTAAATCAACACATATTGATCACGTAACATAACAAGAGTTGTATGGTATGTTTGACGATCACGGTGGATTGACCGCCTGTCACACTGTGTCGAGTGTATGCAATGAGCACGGTGCCAGCTTGATTAAGTCATGTCGTCGACCAAAGTCATTATGAATAAGATCGATATATGCATATTTTCTTTAACTAATGCTAATGTGCTTAAGAATAATTACAAGTCTCATTAGTTGAATTGTATATTGAAAACAGAAACAAGTGTATGAACTGTTTGTATGTACGCTGACAAGTGCCAATGGACGAATGAATGCAAAGAATGTAAGTTTTTCATTCATCCAAGTATCCAATGCATTTTGTAATAGATCCAATAATCATTGAGGCAACACAGCAAGTGAATAATAATAATAAAATATATGGTGCGACTTAGTTAAGTTGTGCACGAAAAGCCCGTTTTAATTAAATCGGTCTTTGTACGAGTTCAATTAACTTTTTGAACGGGACAAACAAAGTCAAACTCGTAAGAAAATGATTCTCTCTTGCATATAGAATCTCTTTCTCCCGTTCTCTTTAAGGTGGAAGAGAGAATACAGAACGAAATAAAAATAAAAACGGGCCACAACCCAGAAATGTCATAAGTGCGCGCTCGTAAAATTAATAACAAATCCAGTTGGTTGTGGCATTTCTCACACAAAATAACTACGTGTACGTATTTCATCAAATCTCTAAATTGGATTTTTTATTCTCTTCTACCCAAAGCTCCATTGCAAATTGTTTACTTTTTTGTGATTCGCTCAGTTTTTTTTCTATCTATCTTTAATACATTGTGGTTTTTTTTCTTCTTCCATTCAATCTCTTTCACTTATTTGTAGTGTTATACAGTGTTTTTTGTATGTGCATGATAGAAAAATAGATTACTTGTTGTTCTGTATTGATCTAAGCTTAATCCAAATAATACAGTTAATAAATGTGTCAGCACTTCGAATGCTTCTCATATAGAATTGGTTTTGTTGTAAAAACGCAGCTTCTTCGAGATATACAATATAGATTTTCAAATCGGAACGTCATTTTATACGATTTTGCTTTCATGGCTTCAGCTGTAAGCGAAGCTACTTGGCCCCAGCGAACACAATGTATTGTGTATCTCATTCATTTCCTGACCGGCATGTAATTTTTTTCGAAATCCGATCGTTGAATACAGATAGCTTTCAATTTACCCCGGTTCGTAGTATAAAACTCGGCACTGATATAGACGAACGAAAACCAGTCACATTCTTTAAATGCTTAGTCATTTTAAGTGGCTTGCACCCAAAACGGAATGAGAACTGATAGCACTAGAAGAGAAAAATATGTCACGAACACTCTAACAAATATTATCAATTCGGTTTATTTATTGTGATTGCTATTTCTTGTACACTTAAGTATTGTGACGTCACAGCCATTGTTTATGATGTCATAAATACACGTGTACTTCATTCTCTGTATCTGTTTTGTTTTTGTTTTTTTCGCTTCTCTCCTTTGATTTCAACTCAGCCGATCAAGATTTCTCTGTCAATTGGATGTATTTGGATCTTAATCTCGATTACAAGTGTGAAATCACACGGCTAGTAACAATGAATGTAGTAAGCATGTTGAATGTTTTATTTTTCACCATGAACTGCCGCCTATGCATAACTCTAATATCATATCTCTTGAAATTCGCTCGCTGTATTTACAATTCACGAGATTGTTTTGTATATTAAACTAATAAAAAAATAAGAATGAATATCTAAATTCAGTGTGCCGCAACAGCAGCCAGCTACAACTCACACATGCAATGTGACTCACGGTGATTATTATGTTTTTATGGGAAAATAAAATAAAAAAAACGATCCGTCTACTCTTACTTTGTTGTGGCGTTTCTTTTCTCCGAAACGATAACGCATGCCTAAAATTAGCCGAAGCCTGAGAAAAAAAATGTATATACAATATAAAAATAACGAACGCTTACACCAATTGTATGATAAACGCAAATGACTATGCTTGGTTGGCGAGAATAAGAAACGAGTTCACCCAAAATCTGTGCACAAAATGGGCATTTGAGAAGAAAATACAAACAAAGCCTAGTTCACGGCATTCGCTTGAACGTCGACCGCCATCAACGCTATACGTCTTCGTCGACGACGACGATGTCTTTCAACAAATCATCGCTTAGTTTTGATGTCGAGATCATATCCATTACATATTAATCCAATTACCTAGTTTTTCTTGTTGTGGCTCGATTGTGCTATATATCCAAGTATTTCCGAGACTCTACACTGTAGTGTTTCACTGTTTCAGCAGAATGTTGGCAGAAAGTTTTTTTTCCGCTTACTTTGTTTTTCGAACAGAACAAAGAAGAAAACACAGGTCATAAATTCATGCATACACGAAAAGATCAAGGTTGTACGTGATGCTGTTTACAAAGTGAAGAGAGTTTTTTTTAAGAAAATATGCAGACAGAGTGTTAAGAGTTAATGGTGCAGAAAGTTGTATGTTCGGACACACGGTGCATTCAATGGAGCGAGTACACGGTTGCATTTTCATTTTATCTACAAAATTGAATCACGTTTATTGGATATATATGCTTAAACATCGATGCTCTGCACCGAAAAACAGCGAAAAAATATGTGTTCCAACGGAGAAAACAAAGACCTGGTACATTTTGGTTTTTTTCATCTTCGCCTCTCATTTCGAATATCTTCTTCATTTCTTCTCTGTTGTAGTGAATTTTTTTAAAGAAAGCAATTCATTTTGCTGTGGATTCTCTGAATGAGAAATCAAATACAGACCATATATTGTGATGAAGAGTCAACATGTTGTTATACGTTTCAACTACGTTTTATGTTGCAATTATGCGTTGATTATCATTGTAATGTGTGTGTCTCAGCGAGACACACAACCTTACCGGCGGCAATAATGGAAGATCATAGGGTAAGAGAGAGAAATATGAAATATCGCGATGGTACAATCATTTTTGCTTTTGCTCGTACTTTTAATTGTGTTTGCGTTTTCAATGATTGCAAAATTGAATTGTGAAAACTCCCAAACAACACTTACAGCACCATATCTATTTTGAAGCCAATTTCTCAATTCAATTAATCATCATATCGTCTTTGTGACGGTGTATGATCCGAAAATAGCGTAAGTGCTTATTTGATTTGTGTGATTTCATCCATTTATCGACACTTACCGCTTTTTATTCGTTCCGACGCAAAATGGCGCAAAAAAAAAACTTAATGAAGATAACGCCTCTTTAGAAATCATCACACACCAAACTAAATTGGTACGAAATGTACTACGTTAAAAATTTATATGTGAAAATAAATGTAAAAAAACAATTAAAACAACAACAACGGCTACAATGAGCATGCTTGTAATCGATAACAAGCATTGTTAGGCTCGGTTATTGGTTTTAATAAACTCTTCGAATGTGCGATTTTTCTTTCTTTCTTTGACACATAAATCGACTGAATTCATAGACCTGAAATCGAGGAAAAAAAAAAATAAGATAAATGAGCGCTAATCACCGTTTTACATGAATCGAAAAAACGCCCCATTTACATTGCATTCGTGCCGAAGCCGGAGTGTTTGTATAAGAGTTATTCGAAATTCAGTTTGATGACTTCGGCACTTTCCATGTTGAATGATCTCCGATTCTCAACTCCATTCGATGTCGATTCACATTCACACGCATTTTTATATTTTCATTAAGTTCATCAATCGATCAACGATTGGGCTTATAAATAATAACAATAAAAAGACGTCGTTTTTGTTGACTTTCGAAATCATTGTATTGATTGAATCATGCGCTCAAGAAATCAATAAAAATGCTCTTATCGTCGATAATGAATGAATTTTGTTGTGAACGATACGTGCTCTGCGTAGCGTTGTGTTTCAATAAAAGTTGAAAAAATGCGAATAGAGGGAAAAACAAAGAAATTAAGATATCAATATAATGTCATACGATTTCCCTTTTGTTTTGTTCATTTTAAAAATGAAAAAAAAAAATGGATAGTTTCTGTCTTTTGTTTGAGATCGGCGATTTTTGAATGGCTATTCACAGTACCAAAACAATGCGGAATGACGGCAATTTAGATAGATCCAAACATATTGCCACTTGAAGTGAAAACATAAATCAACACACATATTGTGAATAGGGAGAGAAGCACATGAATGCAAAAAAATAATTAAAAAAAGCCACGCTCATACTTTTGTTTACATGCGAATGTGAACATTGAGCGTGTACCTTTATGGGAACTACATTCATCATCATCATCACACACACATACACAGTCACACTAAACTGATTTTAATCATAGAGCCATAGTCATAATCATACGCAAAAGCACACAACGTGTGCGCCGCGCGCTCAATGTGAAAAAAGTGCGACGGTTGTCATGTTTTTCTGTCATGTATTGCTGTGTGTATGGAATGGAACAGAGAGAGAGAAAATAAAACGAGTCATGTATTCAAAGCGATCAAGCCAGCCACTGCAACTTTACCGAATACATTAAAAGTTTAGTCGATCTGTGACGCTCGTCTGAAGCACTAAAACTTTTTTGTTCGTGGTGCGCGTGATCTCACGTTCTTCGCGAATTCAATTTTTTTTTTCGTTTTGTATACACACAAAACGTGTGTGTGATGCCCAAAAACGGAAATCCACACTAAATTTAACGTGAAACAAAGATAGAGTAACAAGAAGTAAAAACGAATCAATTTAAAACAATTTCGCACCGTTTTTGGTGTATTTTTGGCCAGAAGTAACACGTAATTGAGGCTATTGTAAATCAAACAAACGAAGAGGCATTGAGATATATTGGATAAAACAGTAACCGCTAATTATGTGAATATCTTTTTACAATTTGCTGCAGCAAAACCATATTTTGATTGCTTAGTTCGGTAGTTTTGATTTTTGATGCCGAATTTAACGAAACGTGAACAAGGCCAAACGAAAACGAGAGATTCACTTCAAGACTGAACAACAATTTACTCCAATTTTTTAAACGAACCATCGTTAATCAAAGAAAAACTGAGAAAAAAAAAACATATATGTTAACAGAGCGCGCTCAGTGGGTTTTTTCTTGGTGATTTTTAATAAATACACGACGACATAACATTTATCAGTGCAAAGTGTGTTGACAATTTAAAACAAAGTGAGAAAGAAAGAGAGACCAAGCAAAGAATAAACGTTCAAAGTGAAATTCCAATGGAATCTCACTGATCAGAATTTAAAAACAGAAGAAGAAGAAGAAAAAAACTTGTCTGTTTGTTGTGAATGAGCAATGACTCATAGTTAATGGTTCATCACATTGCGAAAAAAAAAAAAATGATTGCGAATTCGATTGGAATTTATGAATGAAAACACGCGCATTTTAAAATCACAGTCTGCTCTCAGTGAGAAACAGCTGCAACGATTTAGATTTGTATCAAACAACTTGATGACTATTTTTGATGTCTGTTTCTTTCACACGTGAACACAATACAAAACACACAATGATCATAGAGAAAACAAAAAACTCTCTAAACACAATTCATACGGTGCAATTCGAATCGTTCGAATGTTTTTTTATTTCAACAGTTTTAGATACACCGACAACGGTCGATTGCACGCTCAGTTCGGAAAGCACTGGTTTGGAATGTTTGGAAAATGTGTGCCAACGTTTATCGATAAATCAACCGGAATTTTTCGGTTTACGTTATATAGTCAAGGGTAGCGAAACTGAAATGCGATGGGTGGATCTTGATCGGCCGCTCAGTCGTCAATTGGAGAAACATGCAGCCAGCCCGAAATTGTATTTGCGCATAATGTACTATGTCATCTCAACAGCACTGATAACCGATGAAGTGACGCGAAACTATTATTTTCTACAATTGAAGAGTGATGTTGTTGACGGTCGCATACTGTGCGATCCAAGGCAAGCCGTTGCACTGGCAATGTACTGTCGACAGGCACAGTATGATAGCTACCAAAGTGAACGGCACACCGTTGACTATTTGAAAACATTATTGCCATTTCCACGGCATATGATTGAAGCCGGATTATTGGAAACACTTACCGGTATTGTTGGAAACACTTACTTTTGATACTAATCAATCAGAATTCATATGATAATTTTTTTTATTAGAAGAAGTGCTACAACCAAATCCAGACGTTCAAAGCCTAACTCAGTCGGCAGCCGAAGCTTTATTTATCACCGCATGTCAAAACCTTGATGGATATGGTCAAGAGCGATTCAACGCTAAAAATGATTCAAATCACATGGTTTCACTTGGTATCACAGTTGCTGGTATTGTTGTTGCGACCAATGATGGAATGTTCACATTTTATCCGTAAGTTTTATGTGAAAATGTTTTTCCATTTTTTTTTTTGTTTCATTGTTTTATTGAGTTAGAGATGGAGTGGATAAAGTGAAAATAGAAAAAAAATATCAAACCAAAACCAGCTACAAAGCTGGTATTATGTTTTTCACTTTAATGATTAAATTTGTTATACTCTTTCTCTTCAGGTGGCATGAAATCAATAATGTTGTCAATCACAAGCGAATTTTCAACATTGAGTGCACTGAATCACAGAAAAATGTTAGCTTTCAACTGCAAGATGCCGATACAGGTCGTTACTTTTGGAAGTTGTGCGTGTTGCAACACACATTCTTCATGAAATACGAACAAAATCAAGAACATCCGAATGTTGAACAAAATCTCTTCCAAAATGTGCCAGAAGACCTGAACGAAAGTCGTGATAATTTATTCGAACAAACGTCAAATATTTATGCATCTGATTCGCATATACCAGCATCGTTATTGTGGAATCAATCACATCAGCAACTGCACCCACATCATACCGAATCGATTGTTTCATCAAATATGTCATTAGCAGCTAGTCAACAACAATTGCGAAGCGCTTATGAACAGGGCTGTACACCGGTGCCGAATGACTACACACATCGCAACAGTAATTGGCAATTGGTTGGTTCGAATCAATCATTGAACAATGGACGAACTCAAAGCACATCCTGTTTAGATTTGAGCAACAATAATATTCAGGTAGAACGTGAGCGATTGAAGGCATTTTTACCTGGCTATCGACCGACACCAGATTACGAGACTGCAGTTCAGCAAAAGTATCGATCAAGTGAGTAAATTCCATCGGCAGTGATATTTTTCAATTTCAAAATTGTTCAATTAAAAAATGAAATCGAAATACATTCACAGACACACACATCAATTCTTATTCGGGGAGTCAGCCCGATGTACATCAAGCTACTGCAATCACTGACGCAATTTTTGGCCATCAACTACAACAAAAGTATCCCGATGTAACAAACGTTTCAACAACGAATCCAATTTATCAGCAACATTTTGCCGATCCAAACTTTATGGGCGTCGATGGTTTATCACATCAATTGCAAATGATGCGCTTGAATAAACCGCCTCCGCCATACCATACAAATCGATTTAGTTCCACATCAACGCCAGATCTGGCGTCACATCAATTGCTTGGTTATCGCGGTGCATATGGTTCTAGTCCAGATTTGGTAACAACGACGCGTACATTTGTAAATCAACCGCCACAATTTATGTCACAACAACAAGTGTATCCAGCATCAACGGCACAATCGCAAACATTCCGCTATCGATATGCCCAAGGCATCGTACCACATGGTACATATGAAAATTTAAATTTCATCGATGGGCATTCAAAACTTTCGCAGAAACTACAACAGAATGGATATCGAAATGGTTCACCACTGACAAATGGTTTGATTAAACAGCACAATGGATCGATTGAACCGATTTATGAGAACATTCCATTGCCATGGCAAAGTGAAAATAGTCAAGCCGAAATGCGTGATCGTGCGTCAAGCATTCAATCGGCACCCGGTGTTATGCGCTTCAAAACACAACCGCACCTGAATCAACAATTCATTAATGACACAAAGAACAGTAATTTTGCCGTTTCAAATACCAGCCTGTCCACGATGAACGATTTGAAAAACAATAATTTGGCCGAACATGCGCTGTTGTCAAAGAGCACATCGAATCCAATCGATCAACATCATCATAATCATCACAAATTTGCGCACAATACATCAACACATGAAATTGACGGACGATCAGGTCATAATGGTACTGTGATTGCGATAAATTCAAATTCATCATTTGAACCGAATGTTGAAATCATTCAACCGCCAAAACAATTTCAACAAAACGATAAACCAGTGCACAAAACACGCATCGAAATTACGGCACATGACGATTCAACATCGACCAATCATCATGATGCAAGCAATCGATCGTTGACCACATCAAATGTGCTTGAAACGTCACAAAGTTCAACGTTCACCAATCAAACGGCGACAACAACGGATTCTGGTGTCAGCATGGAACATAAAGAGAAAAAAAAACGACGATGGGTGTTTTTCGGTAGCAGCAGTCATAGCACAAAAACAAACTCAAACGATAAGCATAAGAGTGCCACACTTGGCCGAGAAAAGGATAAGGAGAAAACGAAATCATCAAAATCGAAAATTATTTCACGAGACGAACAAATTTTGAAACACCGATGGTCGACGGGCTTACCAAAGCTTCAACCATTAGCAGCCACAATTAGCAAAGAAAAATTGGTATGTAAATCATAAATCAGGATTCATTGCCTTGTACTAATTTAGTATTGCTTTTTTACAGTCACAAATCTTGGAAGAGAAGCTTCATGATACGAAAATATATATGGAATTCGAATCGATACCAAAGCGTAAGGAGGGTGCACGTTACGATTGTGCATTACACGAAGAGAATCGCATCAAGAATTTTGATCCGAATTTCCTTCCATATGACGATAATCGTGTTCGCATTACGCCGAGCGCGGGAAATCGATTAGGTTACGTGAATGCGTCACACATTCAAGTTACAGTTGGTAAAAAGCAACGATTTTATATTGTATCACAATCACCGCACAACACACAAACATTGCACACATTTTGGCAATGCGTTTGGGAGGCTGATGTTTACTTGATTGTTCAATTATCGGAAGAGATAAATTACATCCCGGAAACCAGTGACAAATGTCTGGACTATGGACAATATCAAGTATTCCAGGAATTTTCACAGAATACGGGTCGATGCATTACATCGAAATTCAGACTGTATCACACACAATCGCGACGGTTAGATTCTTAATTCGAATACAAGTGAGGAGGAATGAAATAATAAAATATTGAAATATTACAGGTATCGATCCGTTTGGCATTTGAAATACACCAACGATTGGGCTGAACAAAATTGTGCATCAGACGTAGACACTTTTTTAGGTAAGTGTCTCAGATTTCAACCAGTGCCATGCTCTTTGTATATTGAAGAATATATAAGTTTGAAAGAAGAGAATAAAAATCTAATGTGAATGATTTCAATTGCAGATTTTCTAAAAGAAATAAATTCGGTTCGTTTGGCTTCGATAAACGAAGTTCCACCTGGTCACAATACAAATCCGCCTGTATTGATTCATTGCAGCGAAGGTGGTGGACGGGCCGGTGTTACACTATGCTCTGATTTGCTGCTCTACACTTTAGACCACAACCAGGTACGTTTTTTGATTTCATATAAATTCATCGTTTTTATCAATAATATATTTAACTGACTCTGCTTTTCCTTCCTCCCAGGATTTGGATATACCCCGTGTTGTTGGTCAGCTCAGACATCAGCGAGATAACATTATTCCGTCATTAGCCCAATACAAATTCATTTATTCATTACTAATACATTCGTTGAAACAGACACGACTCATTTAATTTTTCGTCAAGATAAAGAGAGTGAAAAAAAAACTCATTGTGTGTACATATAAATTTCTATACATATATTATTACTAAATCCAAAATCGTGATAAATGTGATCATGATCATTTCATTTTCTTTTGCGCATTCGAATCGATCTATTTTACATTTCATTTAAACCAACTCACAAGTATTTGTTTATTTGACTGAAAACTTCTATTTTTTATTATAATTATCTCTTATTTTTTTGTCTCTATAGTATTTTTTTTTTTACATTGATTTATTGTAGCAAGAACAAAGATAAAATTGAAATAACTTGCATCTTTGTCCAAATAATCTGTATTCGTCTTGTCTTAGTACAGTTTAGGAGATCATCAAGAGAACATTGAATGAATGCATAAAATATATCGATAAAAACGAAAAAAGTTGACATGAGATTCGAATAATATTGCAAATATCACCAATAAATATCAACGAACGAGTTTTTTTTCAGTTTTTTTCCCGTTTAAAATAATGAACGCCAACATTTACTTAAGTAAAACTATTTCGGTGTTCATAAATTAAATTATTTTGGAATATGCCTTACATGAGCGTACAAAAATCATGCCAAGCCGGTATTATTATTATTATTTTGATTCCGGACGCGAGAAATTTATTTAGAAAATGTGACTTAAAAAGCAATTAATTGTGCCTTCAACCAGAATGTATATTGTAACGTTAGCATTATATCACCCGTCAATTGTTTATTAAAATTTAATGAAAATAATTGAAAAAAACACACACCATTATTACATTCGTATTGAAATATTGATTTTTTTTTCCTTTATCTTTCACATCATCCAATTTTTTGAGCAAACGAAATTGTATAGAGCCCTACGCGAAATAATCGCACGTGGAATAAATGATTAATGACCAAATATTGAAATTATAAAAATCGTTTTGAATATAAAAATCGACTATCCTTTGCTTCCAACAATTTATTGAAATAAAAGTGAACATTTTTTTTCTCGTCATATTTTAGGTATGAATTTTCATTGTTAAAATTAGTAAACGTTAAATTAAGAAAACGTTAAAGAACGATATTCTAAATGTGTTGACATAAAGAAAGAAAGAAAATACTATTCAGTAAGTATTAATTAGTAAAATAGCATATTGGTCGGTTTTAGAAATTGATTTGAGATCGTGTATGATGTTAATTTTCACGTTGGACCGTGGTAATAATTCCTGGAACTAGATGGTGGTGGTGGTGGTGGTTGATAGTAGGCAGCAGCTGTATTTGATTGTTGAAATTGTTGCATTGTAGCTGGTTGAATGGTTGGTGGCATTGCTGGTTGTGGATATTGCGTTGGATACATGTTATTTTGTACGGGATGCATAGCAGGAGCCGTTGGCATCGTTGGTCCTGCTGTAACATTGTGATAAGATTGTTGAGCGTAAATCGCTCCATACGTTGATGCATATGAATAGTGGACATTTTCGTTCGTTGTGATTAATTTCGGAATTGGTTGATTATCCAATGAATTGTCAACCGTTTGTACTGGTGGCACCACAATCGGATTGGCCGGTTTGACACTAGATGGTGGCGGCGGCTGTGTTGGAGCCGTGTTTGGTGATTTTTTAATCATTGGTGAGCTTGGAATGCGTTTTGTTGTCGGTGGACTTGCTTTACTCGCTGGCTGTTGTGGTGGACTCTCAACACTACTTTGATTCGGTTGGTATAAATCTAATACCTGGAAAATACAATACATAAATGATTAATAAAAGATTACAATCACTTTATAAATAATATACTCACTTGATGGCAAATATCTTCGAGTAGTTCCATTGTAATATCAGCAACAAACATGTCCCACCATCGGTAATGTATATCAGTTCTGCCGACCTGGGGAGAGAATCACAAAAGCAAAATGAAAATAAATGAGTAATGGAATCGTAATTTTTAAGTGCTAACACAGACCCAATCGTCAACGTTGAATTTAGTCAATTTACTCGCCAAATGAATCATGGCAACTGCTATTATTTCCGGTTCCCATTGCAGGCAAACCGTCGTACTCAATGAATCGTTTACAAAATTCCATGCCATTTGCACCATTTGTTGAAGTTTTGATTTATCTCCCTTTAAACACTTTGCATATTTCAAAAGGAAATTATAAGGATGCTCAACTTGAAGATCAAATTTGATGGTTTGTAAAAGAATTCGTTCAAGTGTCATCACTTCTTCTTTTGGATCATCACCGAATGACTTGAATTTTGGATCTTGCAGCAATGTACGTGCTGTTTTTATTATGTCCATGCATTTTTTCGGTGTTTCTTCGACTTTTCCCGCTAAGAATAGGCAACAACATGCCGTTACATAACGTGGAAACGTTTTAAATGAATGAAACATGTAAAATCGGTGGAAGTAAACAACTCCAGTTGCGACTGTATTGTGACCCAGTCCCATTGATGTGCCGCATTGCATGATAAATCGTGCACCTTCCTTTCGATAACGTCGTTCCGTTTCACATTCCAAGCCATCACGAATTGAGGGTGTGTTTGTCCGGAGTTCTTTTTTATCGTAATACCAAAACGGCATTTTTTTTAATTCAATTTTTAAACACTTTATATTTCCACTAACTTGGTCAATACTTTTAATAAAATTCATATACAATGCAATATACAACCGTATTTTTTGTCAAAATCGTTCGTTTTGTTTGTAATCATGCATTCTTTAAAAAATATTACAAAAATAAAACTCAAAAAAAATATATTCTCAATTTTACACAATTTAACACCATCCGTGTACGAAGATTGTTTGACAGATGCTATTAAACAAGTTTTTTTGACGTTTATTCCAACACCATTACATATTATGGCTGGTTCAGCGCCATGACACTGTCAATGTCTACATTGAACGTTTACTTGCTTAAACGTTCACTTTGCATTACAGTTTATGTGCATCACTTGGACAGTGAAATTTAGCCGAATCACTCGCATCCCCACGAACAATTCATTAAACAAATATTCATTTGTGACCAGAGCTCAATTTCAAATTGAACAGTGCTTATTTAAGTTGATTGAATTCGAGTTTTTGTTTGAATTTTCGATAGCAACATTTCGAAATATTTTCATCCATAAGAATCGTATTCATACGTGTAAAGAGAGAGAGAAAAAAAATACAACTGTAACTCTACGACTTAAACCAAGGTAATTATCGAAATGGCAAGAATTTTACCATAAAACTTTCGCGTTGTAAATCTATATCTTATCACTGCGGCCGATAAAAAATATAAGTGGAGCACGATAATTTGATTGAAATAATTTGCATTTTCCAAAAAAAAAAAAAATACTATGATTGTCTATAGTGTCATCTCTCATAAATCAGTTTGACATCACAACGAAGCGGCATTCAATAAAGATTAAAAAAGTCATCGCAACTTATCGCTTCAGTCAGCATTGGCAATAGCATATAGAGAAAACTGAGGTTATGTTTATTCATTTTATGAAAATGTCACATTCGCTAGCTATAATTTGTTTCAATCATACACACTAAGTACTGTTGTTGTTCATTCAATGAGCTAGCGTGAGAACGAAGCGATAAATTCTATCAAAAAAAATGTTGCGAGTACTTGGAAATCGGTTACGCACACAATGTACCCAATTCACATGGTCAAATCGAGCGAATTTTTCAATAACATCATCAAAACGACACGGTGAATATGAGTGGCAAGATCCAAAATCCAATGAAGAAATTGTGAATATAACATACATAACAAAAGACGGAAATCGAATTGGAATTAAAGGAAAAATCGGTGACAATGTTTTGTATTTAGCCCATCGGCATAACATTGATATGGAAGGTGCATGTGAAGCATCATTGGCGTGTACAACTTGTCACGTATATGTTCATCATGATTATTTGAGCAAATTACCGGAGGCAACCGAAAAAGAAGATGATCTATTGGATATGGCACCATTTCTTAAGGAAAATTCACGGCTTGGTTGTCAAATTATACTCACAAAAGATTTGGATGGGATTGAATTAACATTGCCAGCAGCTACGCGAAACTTTTACGTTGATGGACATAAACCGAAACCGCATTGAATACACATTATACTTTTAAAAACGAAACTATGTGATGCAAATACATTAAATGAATTAGTCGAGACAAAAAACAAACAAATACCGTGCCTATCATTTCATTAGATCATTAGTATTGTTATTATTAGAGTTTGTTGGAATTCGTTGCAGAACAATGGCTCAGGTCCATATTGATTCAATAGTTTAATGACACATCGGTGTGTAAGATTTTTTGGCATGATATTTTAAATTACAGTCAATCAAGTCTAATTACGCTACTTCAAAAACGTAGCATATGATATACCCGCGCAATATAAATGTCAAGTGTGATTGTTCTGACACGAATTAACTATGCAAGAAACTATATACATTTCAGTCAAACTCACACGGTATAATCTCAACTACTTGCGAGAACCGGATAAGTTCTAATCATACATTCAATTTAGATACAGACTTTTGATACCTAGACAAAAGTTTCTTACCGTGTTGAAGAAAGTTTTAAATAGTTGTTTGTCTGTCGGCACTACAGCCATTGTTTCATACCAAAGAAATCGCATTATATCATTTCATTGACGAAAAATAAACACTACAAAATTAACAAGTTTCCGTTGTATTTTTGAAAATAAAAATAAAAATGAAATAGTTGACATTTGCCTCTTGAATCTACGAAATTAATTTAATTTGTACGAAACGGTCTTTATAACTTAGTGTTCCTTCCGTTTACGAATTTAGTATGTTCCAAAACCTTCCACAATTCATTCAAACTTGAGCGATTGTTCTGTGGAACAAAAAAAAAATATTCAATATGAATTCACGGAACATGCATATCAAATTTAATTCAACATTTCCAATCATATTTCTGATCGTATTTTTTATTTTGCTATGGACTTTTGCAGTTAATCGTTACGTGTGTCGAAGCTATACAATAAATATGGTACGTGATTTTACATATCCAGTTGCCCGACGTGATGAGAGCATCGTCGACGATTTTCATGGAAAGAAAATTGCCGATCCATATCGATGGCTGGAAGATCCCGATTCCGAAGAAACGCAGCAATTTGTCGAAGCGGAAAATAAAATTGCACAACCATTTTTGGAAAACTGCGATAAATGGCAAAAGATCAACGAAAAATTAACCGCGCTGTGGAATTTTCCAAAATATACTGTACCTGATCGCCACGGAAAATACTATTTTTCCTATCAAAATACGGGACTTCAAAACCAAAAGTAATTTTTTACAACAAATAAATACCGATTCTTAATAATAATCCATTTTTTTTGCAGTGTTTTGTACAAACAAGATACGTTGAAGGACGAGCCAACCCTATTTTTTGATCCAAATACATTGTCAACCGATGGTACCATTGCATTGTCGGGCAAAGCGTTCAGCGAAGATGGAAATCTACTTGCCTATGGTCTTAGTGAGTCTGGTTCCGATTGGATAAAAATAAAGATTCGCAACGTAGAAACTGGCGAAGATTTTCCCGATTTATTGGAACGAGTAAAGTTCTCATCCATGACATGGACACATGACAACAAAGGATTATTCTATTGCGTGAGTTGGAGAATTAAAAAACTTTCTTTCATTTCGCGAATTTAATAATAATTGTATTAATGAATTTTTTTGTTAACAGCGTTATCCCGATCAAGAAGGAAAAACCGATGGTTCAGAAACCGTTATGAATGAGAATCAAAAATTGTACTATCATCGTGTCGGAGAGTCACAAGAAAAGGATGTACTTGTTGCTGAATTCCCAGAAAATCCATCGTGGCGGATGTAAGTTTTTTTTAATACTACACAAGCGTGCAATTTCTTATGAAAATATTTTTCATTCATTCAGGTCAACTCAAGTTAGTGATTGTGGCAAATATTTGATTGTGACTATCGTCAAAGCATGCCGTGATAATCTGTTGTACTTTGCCGACTTAGAGAAAAATGGTCCAATCAATGGTAAAATTCCATTGACACCCATTGTCACTGAATTCGAGGCTGACTACGATGTAAGCTTACTACAATATTTGATGTATCAAATTGACATTTTTCGCAATTTATTCTAATTTTCTTCTAATGATTACAGTATATCACCAATACCGGTTCCAAGATGGTGTTCCGTACAAATAAAAATGCACCAAACTACCGTCTCATTGTGATTGATTTGAATAATTACACCGAGGAGAATTGGGGAACTCTCATTGAGGTTGAATTTTTAATGCGAATACAAGCGAGGAGAAATGAACTGATAAAATATTGAAATATTACAGGAAGATCCAAAAGACGTTTTAGATTGGGCACATTGCGTTGACAAAGATAAAGTTGTGCTTGGATACCTTCATGATGTCAAGGTATGCATATTGCAACTATAAATATTAGTCAATTGATTTAATTTGAACATTTTCTTCCAGAGTGCTTTGCAAGTCAATAGTCTTGAAACAGGAAAGCTAATTCGCAAATTTCCGCTTGAAATTGGTCAAATCGTTTCGTTCAGTGGGGACAAAAAGTATTCAGAAATCTTTTATCAATTGGTTTCATTCTTAACCCCTGGCACAATTTACCGATATGATTTTTCAAAGCCCGATGAGCAACCGACAGTTTTTCGAGAGGTCAAATTGAATTTGGAAGGATTCGACAAGAATAATTTCAAAGTTGATCAAGTATTCTATCCAAGCCGTGATGGCACCAAAATTCCAATGTTCATTGTGCAAAAGAACACTCAACCAAAGGGATCAAAGCCCTGTTTGTTGTATGGCTACGGTGGATTTAGTGAGTTGAAAATAATTATCGAAATCATATTTCGAGGAATTCAGCAAATATTTTGTATTGCTATATTTTATTTACAGACATTTCGTTGCAACCAACGTTTAGTGTTTCTTTATTGTTCCTAATTGATGCATTTGACGGGATTTTGGCATTTGCTAATATTCGTGGGGGCGGCGAGTATGGTGAAAAATGGTAAATTAATTTATATATATATATTAACTTATTTCTATTGAATATATAGAGAAGAGAGTATGTTATTCAGCGCTTATAGATGAGTAATGTCTGAATAAAAACATACTCTCCTCTCGATATTTTCAATAGATTTGTAATAATTGAAAAACACACGTATAATTGAAATCTATTAATTTAGGCACAATGGTGGCCGTTTACTTAATAAACAAAATGGATTTGATGATTTCCAAGCGGCCGCCAAGTATTTGGTTGAACACAAATACACGGAACACAAGAAAATAGCCATTCAAGGTGGTTCAAATGGTGGTTTGCTAGTTGGAGCTTGTATTAATCAACGACCAGAGCTATTTGGTGCGGCTGTAGCTCAAGTGGGCGTTTTGGATATGCTTCGTTTTCATAAATTCACCATTGGCCATGCATGGATTTCGGACTATGGCAATCCAGATGAAAAGGTTCATTTCGATAATCTTTATAAATTTTCACCAGTACACAATGTACATTCACCGAATAGCACCGACAACCAATACCCGTCAACATTGATTTTGACTGCCGATCATGATGATCGCGTCAGTCCATTGCATTCACTAAAATTTGCTGCTGCTTTACATCATGCTGTTAAAGACAATGAATTCCAAAAGAATCCAATTTTATTGCGAGTCTATAGCAAGGCTGGACATGGGGCTGGCAAACCAACAGCCAAGAAGATCGAAGAATCAACCGATATCCTGACATTTTTATACCAAGCACTAGAAATCGATGCTGACGTTTAATTCCATGACATGTATTTTTATATGAATTTTTATCTAAATGCAAAAAAGCAAAAACAAAAAATATAATTCTAGTATTCAGATCAATATTTAGCAGCAACATTTTTATTCCGCAGTCATTTGCTACAAAATAGTCAACATGGAGCAGAAAATCGGAATGAATTGTATTTTCTTGAATATTAAAAAAAAATGAAATTCAAATTTCGATGATAGGATTTTGGTATTTTTTAGTTACGTTCATAGAACCACTCTTAACTGGAATATGTAAACAAATAAATAAAACGATAGACTCGTAAATTGTTCAATAAACTGTATTTTTGAATGTATCCAAGACTGTTTTTATTTTGTATTGAAATAACACTAGAATTGGTTCGGATCGTTACCAAACTCGGTATATTTGACAATAAAATGTGACTTTCAGTTATTAATTACTCAAATTCATGATATCTCGTTCGATCTGGCGGATTGCTCCAGAGTTTTTATTATTCGCCAGATTTCGTCCAAAATATTGAGAATGTTGATAATAATATAGCAATTAGGAACTTTACTATTTCTTAAATAATCAAATTAACATACATGGCTCCAAGCACTTTGGATATAGCTGAAGACTTTTTGGATTTTGAACTACTTGAGCTTGCCTCTGATCTAGAGTATGAACGGTATTGTGCAATTTATAGAGTATATTCAAAATATATAATTTCATCCTCTCCTTCAAGAGTTTTTGATGAAAATAATCAGACTTACCCCAACTCCTTGATCAGTCTCTCGACTCTCAGAATTTCATCCACGTTTTTATTGGTTTTCAAAGCTTTTCTGAAATATTGAAAGTTTTCATTTAATTTGGTTTAGTTTTCTACTCTATATTACTCATATGAAAACCAAAACGTACATCTGTTCGATAATATTTCGCACGTCTTCTGTTTCATCTGCGTTTATCGGCCTGCAAATGCAAATTGTTTCAATTATTATCACTATAAGCAATGCTACCATCACTTACAATGGCAAATAATGTAAAAAACTGCATGATGGCGCCATCTCTATGTGCTCATGAAAATTAGAACAAAAAGTTTGTGTAGAATGTTAATTGTTTGAAGTTTGAATACGGAATCATTTGTTGTGACGTCTGTCATTTTACGCTCGATAAAGATATACCGTGTAAATTGAACAAAAACCGATTTATTATTTGTATTTAGTGAATTTGTGATGGAAAATAAATTGAAATTACTTTGCACAGTTTGTGTCATCAAAATTAACTGCGAGGACGTTGCATATCACATGGTTTTTCTTCACACAAAATCAGTTGACATTTTTGACTTTTTCGCACCAAAAAAAAAAATGTTTTAATTGCCTTTGGTGCTCGTTTGGATCGCGAGTTCAATGCCAAGCACATAGAGATGTCGCTCGGAACGTGAAGCTCAAAAAAAATATACAGGTGATATAGAAAGCAAGTGATGGTAGAAGCAATGGCCAAATTTACAAAAAGAGAAATAGCTAACTCTTAGCTACTTACAGAGTAACTACTGCCAAAGCGACTAAAGCAAGTATAAATATATTACGGAACATTTTGCTTGGATAATGTATGTTAATCGAGCTGTTGTCTTCAAAACTAAACTGACTTACCACGAACTTGCCACCTTATTTATACCATTTTTCTTTTTCAAAAGACCTCTCTACCAAAGCAACGCAAAAAAGTTTTTCTTAATTCGTGCGTCAATCAAAAATTCCAATACTATATTTTCAAAAACCCTTGAAACTAACATATGGGTAATAAGTTTTGGCACTAAATTCAGACGTTCGCCATTTGAACAACAAACATACAATATTAAATTCTTTTTTATTGGTATATACCTTTATTCATGGGCTATCTAATAGCACATTCACTTTACACTCAACGGACCATTGTCTTTGATTTTTGTCAGTATGCGTTGAACCTTCAAAATCATGCTTTGGCAGACCGATTTGTCGATTTCTATCAACTTTCTCTTTATCCATTCAACCAATTGTTTCAAGTATTTTGGACCTTCGCTTATAACATACATCCAAAAACAGACGAGAAGTAATTAATTCGGTGTTTTTTGTGAAGTTAAAAAGATGGCCCTTTTCTCATGGAAATGCTATTTTTTAAGAAGTGAGCCATTATTGTGGTTTTTTCTGCTTGCAAAGCACAATTTTGTCTTTAATCAGATAGTTCTCAACGAATTCTATCGATTTCAACAACATTTGATTGATAATAGAGCAATTAATGGAGGTTCAACCTTTCGTTTCCGCCCTCAATTTTCGAATAATGGCTCTAAAACACCTTCCAAAGAAGATCCCTCCATACAAACACCCCTTCATCAAAGTTCGGTTTGTCGACGTCTCTAGCCTTATATAGTAGTGCCCTAATATAATCAATACAAAAGAAACCACTTGCATTTGATTCATGGTTCGATATAGCTATGAAAGTTTCACTATCCAAAATGATGAATTTTTCAGTGCAACATGGTGTGAAGTGAACAGCCAATTTTGGACACTCTTTTGAATTTTTTCGTTACTTATTTTGCTGATTACTAATAATTTATTTAAAATCTGACTCTACAGGATGATTGGTCGCGAGGAATGGAAATCATTAGATTTTGAGCGACTTTGGTTGATGGAGAAAAATTTCATGCCTGGAGTGATATCTATGAAAAAGAATCAATTCTTCGTCCAAAAGTCATATGTGTACTTAAACATTCAAAATATGTATTGGGGTTCTTTTGGTACGAGAAAACCGAATCCGAGGTTAGTTTTGAGATATAATCAATTTTTAATGTAGTTTCTTTGAAAAAATCACAAAAAATTGAATTTTTGTATGGGAGCCATGTATGATTTTTTTGTCTAAAAAATAGTCTCTGCAAAGTTTCAGCTCATTATACGATATCATACAGGCATGGTTTCCATACAAAATCCAAATTTTTTAATGACTGTATGAAAAGGGTTTCAAAAATAGTTTTTATGACAAAATTAACGCCTGACATATTTTTATAGCGTTTTGTTAGAAAATAGAATACTTTCAAATGTCATACAAATGAATGTGTCAGAATAAAAACTCGACTTCATATCTCACACTTTTGAAAAATCCTTCAAGAGAGAGCAAGAGGTGAGATACGAAGTTGAGTTTTTATTCTGACACATTCAAATGGGTTCATCATGAAAGTGTGCAAAATCTTTTGCGAGTACTTCTGCTATTAAATTAAAGAATATTTCGATGCCAAATTTTGAACATATTTTTTGGCCTAGAACTTTACGCCGCTTGAAAGGCTTGAAAAATCGAAAAAATATTATTTTGAACTAGCTTAATAAAATACGTATCTACCACCGTGCGGAAAAGTTCGTCTTACTCCTGTAAGACTCTTTATTTCATTTTCATAAAACCTATGTACCAAAGCAACGCAAAGATGTTTTGCATTTATCAATTCGTGTGTCAATCAAATATTTGCATATGTTTAAACAACCCTCCAAACTTTTTTTGCTAACACGTTTTGACAAGAACGCAAGCTTCATGAAGGAATATTCTGTTTATTAAGAAAAATGTTGCACGATCTTTCAACGTGAACAAAATGCGCATTTTCCCACTTCATTGCTATTGCCGATAAAATAGGTCAGACATTTATAAATGTTAATTAACGAAGCGTGTGGTTCATGCTATTTTAAAAATACAATTATATCCATACTTTATCTTGAATGATACCTTAATATTTGCAAACTGTGCTTCGTTCTATTACAAACTTCGTTTAAATGGTTTATCAAGACTATTTTTCATTTTCTTATTTCGAACAAGTGTTTTCTGTTACCAAGGAAGCTATTATACAATATTAAAAAATGTTCATACAATTTCATACAAATTGTAGATTTTTTGGAGCAATATTTAATCTATTCCAGAAAGAGCTAGACCCTCAAATTTTGGCACACTTATTGTACTATCTACGAATTCAAAAAATAAACCGAATTCAATTTTCCAAAATGAAAAATTATAAATTTAGTATGAATTGATATTAGTCTATTTTTATTATATTTATTTATTATTATATTTATTTATTAGTTTTCGACTCATCGTATCCGCGTGCAATTTGAAAATATTAACTATTTATAAGTGTTTTTTGCTGTTTGACGGGATAACTTTTGGCTATTACAGTAAGACGTAGCTAATTGTTTGTTTATTTATTCATTTATTCATTTATATGTTATAATGATGTAATTTTAACTTTGGCCATGGGGGGCGTAGTGACCACTGCGAATTCGGCGGCCCCATTCGGTCTATTTACCTTTACCGTGCAGCCTGGGATGGTGGCTGAGTGTTCATTCGATCTACTGACCCGGGCTGGGCAGCCTGGGATGGTGGCTGAGTGTTCATTCGATCTACTGACCCGGGCTGGTGGACCGTGTGGGTGACCGTTAGAATATCGTTTGTGGTCGTAAGATTATATATTGAAAAGATGTGGTTTTTAACGGTGATCAGATGTTTACCATAGTATATCACTGATTCATACCTTTTTCCCACCAACAAATGTATAAAAAATTGTAAAAACTCAAATGATTCAGCCAGTTTTGGCGGTGAATAAAGATTATTATTATATATTATTATTATTTTTTAATTTAAGACATTTTGCAAATACGATTTTTATTTTTTTAATTTATAATTTTTTTATTAATTAACGACACAATGTAAACAATTAAATAAATAAATAAAATAAAGACTCTTACAGGAGTAAGACAAACTTTTCCCAATGGTGGTAGCGTATAAACTTTTCCGAATGCGTATTCTATTAAGCTAGTTCAAAATATTATTTGTTCGATTTTTCAATCCTTTCAAGTGGCGTACAGTTCTAGCCCAAAAAATATGTTCAAACTTTGGCATCGAAATATTCTTTAATTTAATAGCAGAAGTATTCGCAAAAGATTTTTCAAACTTTCATGATGACACATAAAATGACATGCTTGAGGCAATATTAGATTGTCAAATTGTATTTTGGTTGACTATGTTATTCATATCTTCGTAATTACATCTAGGAAGAGTTACTGAAAGCTAGCGACTGAATAACATATTATAATTGTATGTGTTGTCTCTTTTCTCGTATATACAACGTACGAAAAATCTTATACAACTTTTCCTTGATATTTTGAATACAGCAGTTGTGCTTACAAACATACGTCCTCAGCAGGAGTCCGAAGGGTTCGATTAGCCCCCCCCCCCCTCCCCTGACGAAGTGTTGCCCCTTAAAAAATTTCAAAGAATTCCTTCAATTTGCTAGGGAAAAAGTGAAGCGCAAAAAAAAACGATAAAAGTACACTTCACTTTTTTGCTTACCTATCTCGATTTTTTTCAATTACCCAAATTTTGTTACCATTAGACCAATTTCGATGTTAAATTGAATATTTTGATTGTATTGTTGCATTACTTGTTCTAGCCCTGAAGAAGATCTAAATTAAGTATCGAAAGCTCGGATTACAAATAAAAACGTAGTTTAAAACAACTGAATTGACTGTCATCGTCCGTATTTTCATTGAATAATTTAACATCGATCGTTGATCAAATTTTTTTTACAGGCAAATGAGTATTTTTCATTTCACTGTTTGAACACTAAAATGATTGACAAACACAATAATATGGCGATTTTGTTTGACATTACAGTAAAAACTTCTTACTGAATTTGGTAAATGGCTCTTGGGCGTGCACTTATCTAGATAGTATTTTCCTGTAGAGCCAAGACCTATATATAAATTGACATTTGATTATAGTTTTTTTCGTTTATATTTATGAGTAATTTTTCAAGTGCAGTTTTCAAGTTCTTGAATGTCTTTTGAGAATAGACTTTATGACGAATTCTCTGTAAGATACATGCACTTTTATAGTCAGTTGCTAAAAATTGGCTGTTTATAAGTATAAGTGTTTATAACAATAGGTGAATAGATTAACTTCAAGTAAGCGTAGTTGATGCTTATCACAACCAAAAACATTAATTAAAATAAATTGATATAAATAAAAAAAGATGAATAAACCTTAAATATACGTTTTTATTTTCATGTGCTTCCCCTGCTTCTACGTCATAATATAGATGTAATAATATGATGTTCAAACTCAGGATATACAAATTTGCCTTGGTTATATAAATAAGTGATAAAAATTCATTGTTTGTCCTTTTCTTGGTACGGGTGATAATTAAATTCAAATTTGGACAGATTAAATTGTATGAAAACGATTGATTGTTAAATTGTGTTTTTTGCTAGGTTTTTTGGCTTAGTTTTTCACATCTTCGATATCATGTGTATTTCGCCAACTTGCGAATGTTGATTTATATGAAAAACTCTTGCATTGAAAAACTGTAACATCAACTAGGCACCATTGAAAAGAACTATAGAAAGCTAATTACCCTATAGTCTTAAAAGAGTTATTGTATTTGTTAATATTGAATAGTGTAATAGTATTTGAAAAGCTTTTTTGTTTGGTATTCTTTTGATTTTAGTTATGTTTGGTACATTTATTGGACATAATTTTGAGACATTTCGTATCATTGTTGCATTATTTTTAAATGTTATGAGCTTATGAATATTTATGATATAGACATTATATAACATGATTTATATAAACGCAATTCACTAAGAATGGAATTGTTACTCATAAATTCATTTTTTTTAAAGTACTGATGAATTATTGGTCGATTTTCGATAGGCTGATTTTTTTTGCAGAACACTGAAAATATGTATATCTTATCTTTTTTTGTTAAAATCAGACATTATTGACATTGAGATATTTTTAGCGAGATGAATCAACTCAGCCAGATATCGTCAGGCGCTGAAATGGAGATAAAAAAATAGAAGTGATTGTTATAGTTATAGCAAATGGGTCAATAAGTTTTTGGTGTTAATTACGCTTACATTGCTACAATCACTACCTTCCAAATTCATTCTCCAGGGGGTGTGGAGTAATCAGATCCCTGGTCAGAAACTATGACACTTGTCTGTTATTATTAAAAAGGAGTAGGTAAATCAATTTGTTCCGGGAACAAAATCCAATTGTCAAATAAAAGAAAAAAAGATTGATTTCAACCATAGGAATTCGATTTTGTTCCCGAAACAAAATCAAAAATGTGAAATAAAAGTAAATTATTTTGATTTCAACTATAGGAATCAAATTTACTTTTATTTCGAATTCTTGTGGTTGAAATCAACTTGAGTAAAATACTCCCGGGGAGTAATTATAATGGTAAGTAAAGGTGGGATGGATAACGATAAACACACATTGATAACAAATCAAATCTGCTATAATTCCACATCTGTGTTGCATTTAGAGGTGCCCACTGAACCGAACTGAACAGTTTATGTTCGAAAAATATTATATTTTCATGTTCGTGTTCGTTCGGGTTCGGTTCAAGTTGATCGCAAAAAAAATATTGCAATCATATTCGTTCACGTTCGGTTCACGTTCGGTTCACGTTCATTTTAACTGTTCAAATTAAAACTGTAAACTTCAAAAGATGGTGGGAAAATTAAAAAAAATTCAAAGCCTGAAAACCTCATTAGATTTTTTTTCCCAAAATATCAATAAAAGTGGCAACCAAATGCAAACTTTAAACACTTTCGACATATTTCAAAATATTTCCCGAATATCAGGTAGTATCATTTAAAAATTATTAAATTAGAAATATCACTGAGAGATAAAAAGTTTTAATTTGGATATTAAGGCAATTTAAATAGTTTTTTCTCTGTTTATTATGACTATTTAAATTCACAATTATCAAATATGACCAATTTTAGGAACTGAAAGATGAATTTTTTTTTTGATATCTAAGCGATTGAAATGATTTTTTTATTCTTATTAGCACAGTTTGTTTTGAATATAAATCAGAAACTATCCAAAAATAATCAGTTTGAGATTGTCATAGAAGCGCTTTTTATTCATATGTGTGCAATTTTGAATTTATGAACTGAGAGATGAAAATTTTTGTTTTTCGTATTGAAGCGATTTAAATTACGTTTTTTTTCATTATCATTATTAAAATTCACACAAATTAAAAAAGAAACAAAAACAACTCAATTTCAAATATTCGTAGAAAAAATTTGAACATATAGTCGCGTAATATATGAGACACTTCATTTGACAGAATGACATTTGAAGCGTGATTCGCTCACGCATGACAAATGACAGGTTATGTGTCAAATGAATTGGCGAATTTGCATTGTTTTGGTTTATTGTGGTAAAATTGTTAGTTTTTGTGTTACTTTTATTAATATTTAAGCAATAATATTGATATTAAAATTATATTTCATGTTTTTTATTTTGTTCAATCTTATAATTTCATTAATTACACATTCTGGCGTGAATGCGACATGAAATCAATTTACAAATGTGTTTTTAGTCCAGGAAGTGACATCGGCGACCAATCAGCATCGAAAATCAAATGAATCACTTAGAATAAATCAACATTACTAGATAAATGTCTTCAAATGCGTTACTGAAAAAAGTCAGTCAGCAAAAGCGTTATAAAATATATGGACGATGTCACGCTTTTGTTGGCGAACTTTTTTATATAACGCGTCACATACAGTTTTTGACACTATTACTGACGTGCTTTTTTCTATAACGCATTTGAAGACATTTATCTAGTAATGCTGATTTATTCTAGGCGGTTCAAATAATCTTATGCAGAATTTTACGCTCTTCAAAATGATACTAGCCACTTTTTAATATTTTCCATGTGGAAACACCCTAATGATCATTGATAAGATAATTCTGCTATCAATTTATTCAGTTTATATTATTAATGAATAGTGTGGTCACAAAAAACAGAAAACTTGAGTTATTCAATCAATTGTTTTTATCGCACAACCATTTGTCTAACACTGATAATAGCGAACAATATAAAAATGAGAATTAAAGCTATATCAAGTTAGTGCCAACAAGGAAGTAATAAAATGAAATACACCTCATCGATACCATTGTGTTTAATCGCAGTTTTGACTGGTAATAAATTATTTAAAATAAAGTTTTTTTTTTTTGGAAATTGAATTGGTTTTTCTGCATTACAACTTGTTTCAGTAAAAGTCGATGCGTATGGCATTAATAGCGCGGATAAAAATCGAAATTTTATCAAAACCCCAATGAAATACCCAGATGCGCGACGAGACGAAAGCATCCTCGAAGATTTACATGGAAAGAAAATTGCCGATCCATATCGATGGCTCGAAGATCCATTTTCGGAAGAGACAAAACAGTTTGTCGATGCTGAAAATGAAATATCACAATCATTTTTAGAGAATAACGATAAATGGAAAAAAATCAATACAAATTTAACCAAACTATGGAACTATCAAAAATACTTTGTTCCAATGCGACACGGAAAATACTATTTTTCATTTAGAAATTCTGGCCTACAAAATCAGAAGTAATATCAAATTAATTTTGAAAACCTTCGACTGACCTTGATAATTTTTTTCAGTGTGCTTTATAAACAAAACTCTTTAAACGATGATGAGGAGCCAACAGTATTTTTGGATCCAAATGCATTCTCATCGGACGGAACGATTTCTTTGCAAGAACAAGCTTTTTCTAAAGACGGAAATCTGTTCGCTTATGGTGTCAGTGAATCGGGCTCAGATTGGATTAAAATCAAAATTCGCAACGTTCAAACTGGCGAAGATTATTCTGAACTTTTGGAAAGAATAAAGTTCACATCGTTGGCATGGACACATGACAATAAAGGATTTTTCTATAATGTATGTAAATTTGATTCAATTTTTCTGCAGTCTTGCGTGGAAAGTGTAGCATATATAAAATTTATGATTTTTATTAATCCCAGCGTTACGATCAAGGTGGAGATGGATCTGAAACGGATACAAATGAAAATCAAAAACTGTACTATCATCGTGTCGGTGAGCCTCAAGAAAAGGATGTGCTAGTTGTCGAATTCACAGATAATCTGGATTGGTTGATGTGAGTTACTCCAAATGCACACTTCTGCGAGTATTTCTTTATTTATTCATTTGGTAAAAATACAGAGTAGCCACCGTTAGCTTATGCGGCAAATATTTGATTGTGACACCATATAATGGTCATCAAAGTTCATTGTATTTTGCTGATTTGGAGAAGAACGGAGCCATCGTTGGCAAGATTTTGCTTACATCAATAGTAACGAAATTTGAAGCTGAATATGTTGTATGTATTAAAAAAACCTTTTCAAAATATTTCTTTTCGTATTTCGCTAATTATTATGTTTAGTATATTACCAATACCGGATCAAAAGTAGTATTCCGTACCAATATCAGAGCACCAAATTATCGTGTTGTCGTAATCGATTTCAACCACTTCACTGAAGATAATTGGACCACGCTTGTTAAAGTAAGATTTTGATAAGGTTTGAAAAGTAGAAATTTAAAAAAAAAATCGAATAACAATTAAAGGAAGACTCGAAAGATGTGATACAGTGGGCAAAACATGTTGATAAGGATAAACTTGTGATTTCATATCTTCAAGATGTAAAGGTTTGTGTTTATTGTTTACATAACATCTAAAACACTTTGCGATACAATATAATAGAATTCAATTTTGTAGGATATTTTAAAAGTACATTGTCTCGAAACTGGAAAATTGTTACGTAAATTCCCTCTTGAAATTGGAACTATAGTTGGTTTCAGTGGAAATGAAAAGTACTCCGAAGTCTTTTACCAATTGGAGTCATTTTTGACGCCTGGAACTATCTATCGTTATGATTTTTCGAATCCCGATACTGAACCAACCGTTTTTATTGAAAACAAATTAAATTTGAATGGATTCGATAAGAAAAACTTTAAAGTCGAACAGGTGTTCTATCCAAGCCATGATGGTACCAAAATCCCAATGTTCATTGTTCAAAAGAAAACTGCATCAAAAACCAAACCCGTTTTATTGCATGGCTACGGTGGATTCAATATTGCAATCCCACCAGAATTCAAGGTGCCATTTTTATTTTTTGTCAATGCATTTGATGGAATTTTGGCCATAGCAAATATTCGTGGTGGAGCTGAATACGGGCAAAAATGGCATGATGCTGGAAAATTGTTGAACAAACAAAATGTATTCGATGATTTCCAAGCGGCTGCAGAATATTTAGTTACACAGAAGTATACGATAAATAAGAAAATTGCCATTTATGGTCGTTCAAATGGTGGCTTGCTAGTTGGAGCTTGTATTAATCAACGACCAGAGCTATTTGGTGCGGCTGTAGCTCAGGTGGGCGTTATGGATATGCTTCGTTTTCATAAATTCACCAGTGGTCATTCATGGATTACTGATTATGGTGACCCTGATGAAAAAGTTCATTTCGATAATCTCTATAAATTCTCGCCGTTACATAATGTTCATGTGCCAAATAGCACTGTTAACCAATATCCGCCAACAATCATTTTAACGGGCGACCATGATGACAGAGTAAGCCCATTACACTCATTGAAATTGACTGCCACCCTACAACATGCGGTGAAAAATAATAAATTTCAAAACAACCCAATTCTTCTTCGTGTATACAGTAAGGCTGGACATGGCGACGGTAAACCAATCGCAAAACGAATCGAAGAAGAGACCGATATTCATACGTTTTTATACCAATCACTGCAAATCGATGCTGATATTTAGTGAAATGTATTATTCAGCTGTTAATAATTAAGAACGCTGCATAGTGCCCAAATATAGACGGAATTATTTCTTGTCATTCGAAAGTTGTAACAACATTTTAATAAACAGAATTTCTATTGCTTTCCCAACATTTTTCCTTCTCAGCTTACTACATAATAGTTACTATAATCAATTAGCAATCGAAAATAGAGCAAATGGTTATTTTGTAATGTTTAATCAGCTGTTATTAATAATTTTTGTTGTTCGTTGCAAAGCACATTCATTTTGATTAGGTATATGACGAAATCTTACAATGATAATTCATTTTATTCGTAAGAAGAATATGCTAGGGGGTGGACACGTGGAATAGGATTAGACTTTTTAGTGTAAAAATTCGAGAAATTAAAGTGGAATAGAGAATTCAGTAGCTGGATTCACGTGGATTCACTAATCCCGTGTATGGAATAGCGAAAATGGGTTAATACAAAGTTTTTGTAATCGATAGTACAGAATTTGATAAAAGCATTGAACTTGTTTTGAGATAGTAATTTGTTCTTTTTTGAAATATTTTTTAGTTCAAAAGTCGATTACAAATTTACAAAACAATAGATACACTTTCTCAAAATTTTATTGATGAAAAAAATAATTTTAATTATCAATAACAAAATGTCATACTCCAGTATCGATAAATAAGTTTTCAACAAAGTGAATAGCGGCGAAATGTGACATCACATTTGACAATGAAATGACGGATTGGTGGAATAGTAGGATTAGTGTTTTTATATTGGAATCATGGTTTAATCGTTTGTGTCTCCCCTCTAGAGAATGTGATAACTTGTCTTACTCAAGACATACTTATCAAAAAAGTTCAATACACAAATGATTTAAAAAAAAAACAGTACTTGCTCATCTTTTACATTCGCATTTGTTGATAACATCTTATATAAAAGGAAAGGTCCGACCTTGAAATGAACTTAGTTTTTGGAGAGGATTTGAATCGGACACTCGAAACAAAGTTTAAAGAAAATAATGAAAGAATTTCGGCCAACAATCGAAAATGTATGGTACCCCCACTTGTATTGTAAATTCTTCAAATTTGTTGAGATTAGATATTTTGGTAATAAAATAAGATTCACAAGCTTTCACTGTAAACGTAAAAAAATATAATAGTTTTTTCTATAGTAAATTTTTCAAAAAAATATTTTTATACGTCGCAAATTCTAAAAACGATTTTTTTTTATTACTATAAATACCGATATTGGATCCGGAAAACCATGGCAAAACCGGTCTAATTCAGGAGAATTAGAGGAAATACTTAATATTATCTTAAATATATTTTGGAAATAAAATAATAAAATAAATTAAATTAAAAATGATAAAAAAATAACAAAATAAGAATAAGTTATTAAATAAATAAATAAATAAATAATTCAATAAATAATAAAATAAAATAGAATAAAATAAATAATTGAATAAATAGACAAATAATAAAAAATAATAATAAAATAAATATTTTATGAAAAAAGATGGATCACGAGAATGGAAAACAAGCAGTTTACAAATATATAAATGACAAGAAATTGATAGAAAAAAACTAATTATTCCGATTCGCGAAGCCATTGCTTTAAATAAAATTTAAATGAATTAACCGATTCACAATCTCTAATCGTATTTGGAATTGAATTGAAAAAATTAATTGCAGCGAAACCGAACGCACGTTTATCAAACTCAGAACGAGGCTTTACTTGAACACGAAGTTGGCCGTCTGAACGTCTCGAATTCTCTTTCAACACAAACATATCATTTAAATAAAGAGGTGAGCGGAATTTAAGTTGCTTAAAAATGAATATGGCAGAATTTAATTTAGCCTTAGACTCAGGAGTGAGCCCATTTATTCGTTTACGATATTCACTGATATGATCACTTCGTTTCAAGCCGAAAATATAACGAATTTTATCGTTATCAGCTATTAAGATACGATTTTGTTGATTGGCAGAGCCATGAGCTCCCCAACCATATGTGATCACATCACCATAACTCAATATGGGATCGATTAACGAAGTAGCAACATCGAGTTTTACATAGTTTGGGATGATGTGACGAGTGTGGCGAATTCTACTCAACACACCATAAACTTTTTGTAATTTTTCTTTATTATGCTCTTCAAAATTCATATTTTCATCAAATATCACACCAAGATTTTTCAAGGATTTGCAATACTCAAGTTGTTCGCCATCAACAACGACGTCGTTAATTACATCAAAATTTAACCGATTTGTATTATATTTAGACCTTATTACTTTCTATTTTGCTTTATTCAAAACTAGACCGCGACGTGTAATAAAATCATTAATTTTTGCTAAATCGGAGTTTACTTTGATTATCCCGTCATTAATTTTATCAAAATCTACTTCAATGTGCGCTTGGAAATCGTCTGCAAATAAATGACCGATCATGTGTTCTGAAACGTTGAGAGTATCATTGAAAAATAGCGAAAAATTTTTTTGACCGAAATTAGTTCCTTGTTGTTCGTTTATTACCTGCAAGATCATATTAACGACGAATCAATTTTTGGAATCTCTGATAATAGGGAAATTAAAATAAGCCTCGGTGATTCCCAATTTTAACAAAATACGAAATGAACTACCTTTCAATATGTTTCTTATGTGAAGAAACTTTTGATCGTACGTACGTTCTCCAAAGAATTTAAAAAAATATATATATGTTCATTTCTATAGTTGCACAAAAAAAATCAAGCACTAATGTCGCTCGTGTTTGCACGGACATTTTGACCGTCCGTACGTAATATACTTAAACTGTTTTTGACCGTACGTAACGGTTTTTGTCCGTCCGTCCGGACACTTATGTCTCTAAGCCTTTTCGTATATTAAATAACCATATTTTCCTATCATAGTTTTTGGTTTTTATGAAATTAGTACTCACTGACACACTTCTCGATGTATTAATGTCAAGTTGTATAGGCGCAATTTAGCTACTTTCAATGAATTGTTTCCACTCAAATCATTATTCAGTTGCTTTACCTCCCAGGCAATTAATACCGCGAAAATTAAAGGACTTATCACCAGCAAAATGATAACTAAATCACAAGCTATGATAATATGAACGAAGCCACAAAAACCAAAATGACGTGGAGCATACAGGAAATAATGTATCCATATAGCGTTGCAGGATCGATACCAGGAATATACAGTGTAATTGCATATTCCATTTCATTAAAAACAAAGTAGCTAATAATTGGAAAAATCACAACTACGTTTCCGTTTGAGAGAATACTAGCTTACATGCCCTTAAATAAATATTCCGTGTATAGAGCACATTTGTTGAAAAATGCCATGCGTTTTCCAAATAATAAATATTTCATGGTCAGAAAAGTATTTGTGTTTTATTTTACTTAAATCGAAAATTAAGCTTTTTATCGCTACTTTGAATTTCAGTTAACAGGGACCGGTTTGCGCATATTTCTATGCCTGATAGCTATGCTAAGCATAGCGGAGACGTAAGCTGCAACGCACCCGTCGCCATTCGATTCGAGCTATATTGTATGCGTACGTCTCTCAATGCACGGTCGCCTGGATACATGTTCGTTGTATTGTTCATATAGAGTGAACGGCGATGCGTCGGTGGCGTTTGCGGCTATGCTTGGCATATCTATGCTACCTAGCGTATTTAGGCAAGCATAGAAATATGCGCGAACCGGTCCCTGTCAGTTAAAGGGTTTCAACATCAAAACCAGTTAATTGCCTGAATATTAATTTTCATTTTCAAAAAGCTCTCCAATAAAATCTCCTTTTCATTAAAATAAATAAACCCTAACAATTGTTGTTCGGAAAAATCGAAAGATTTTTCCAATATTTTAATAATAGCCCCAACCATTAACGCCCGAAACAACCAGTTTATACATTATACATGTGTCGATCATGAAGATAAACATTGTTAAATATCCACACACCTAAAATTGAAAAAAGTCTTATCATTATTTCGATTCATCGATAAAGTATATTTAAAATACTAACGGCGGCTGTTCTTAAAACATCGTTTGTATCTCTAATTATGAGTGTCGAAATCAGCAAATATGCATGTGATGAAATTAAAGCAAAAGCCATTTCAACTTTGGCCCAATTAATTGTTATACGATTATCGATTCTGAATACAAATAAAAGTAGAAAAATAAACGTCATTACGAATCCCACAACGCCAACGATAAAGCAAAATTCTTCCACAATGCCATGTATCGGACTTGCTCTTGTACATATGAAAGTAATGAGACCCAGAATCTAAAATTAAAAAAATACAAAAACACATACACACCACACACATGTTATTCAGGTGTGTACGTTAAAGGTAGTAGTAATACAAAAGTAATGATAATATTATTTCCAGTTGTTATACGCACCACAGCAAGACACTTTAAAAATGCGGGAATCGTGCGTAATCGTAAGAGCGCGGAATACATGATGGTTTTCAATGTCAGATGTGGAATTACTCGTTCCAAATTACTGCGAAGAATTTTTTTTAAACAATACTAAAAACTTGATCAATATGTTATAGCAGAGAAGTAACTTAACAAATATGACATAAACTGATTTATTGACTATTAATTCCAAATATAAGCATGTAATTTTATTAGTTTTATTTTCAATTTTGTTGGATAGTATGTGCATTAATCACGAAAATTAGTTCAGAATATTCATTATTCACCGACATGAAAATTTCGTTACAACTTCAAATGTCAAATTCAGAAACGGATGAAAAACCAATTAAAAATATACTAGTTTGAATTAAATAAAAAGTAAAAAATGAAATATTGTCACCGTTCGCACCTACGAAAATTAAAAACCTTCACAGCCAGTTCAATTTTAGTGAAAAATCACTTGAAAACGTTTGAAAAATAGGTTTGCTTACGAATGAAATATCTAGACAGAAATGTCATTCAATATTTCATTTGGTTGACGCTGAAAATGTTTCCGATAAGATATAAATTGTTGATAAGAAACATTCTCAATAATACACAAAACGTTTGCATTGTTATGATAAGACTTTATTATTTGGATGGTGTTCATGACTAATACGTTTTGATTGCTCACGAGCGATTTCATTAAAAAAGTTGGAATGGTAGTAATCACTGTCATTTGTCTATTTTGCTCAAGCTCTTTCTCGATATCTCAAAAATGCGTCTACTGCGTACACAACCATTGCTAAGTACCCGAAAATCTAAAAATCGAATGTTTCCAATATAAATTAAATTTTTTTCAAAAACTGTATCGAAAAGTACTTACAGCGCCTGCTATTAACAACGAAAGCGATGTGACCACGATAAGCGATGAAATCACAAGAAAACCAATGGCAGCAATAACAGAAAAGTATAATTCGATTGTATCCAAATAGACTCCGAATATATTGTCGGCTTTTATCAGGTATAAAACGAGAAGAATGGTCGTCGGTATAAATGCAAGGATCGCTATTGTCCAAAAGAAGTCAGACGCACCCCATGAGCCGGTGATATTCAATTTGGTGCAAATGAAACCGGCAATTTCAAAAATCTTAAATGAAAAATGCATTCTTATTCGATTTGGATTCACGTAACGCTGACATTATGTGACATACCAAACACAATATCTTCAATATAGCTGGAACCGTTCGTAAGCGTTCCCACATCGAGTCCATGGTGTTTTCGTTAAATATAAAACATGAATTTATTGACAAAGACGTAAAAATTTAGCAACTACTTCGTATTGATTGAAGGTAATTATTAGTATAGATACAAAAATGTTATCATCAGGAAAAAACACTGAAATGAGACTTTTAGTTGACACTCTCTAGTTTTCAAGTCTAACACATCAAATGAATATTTAACAAACTAAGAAAAAAATTCAATGATTGTATTGCTTCTTCACATTATATTCACTGTAATTTGATAAACTTCACAAGTAAAATGAACAAAATACAGCTAATACACGGTGAGGCATTTGTTTGTGTATAATGTGTTATCAAGTAGCGTCATCAGAAAGATATGAATGTGTAGTATGTTGGATTTTAAGCCATTAAACACAAAACTATGAATGGTTTAGCAAACCTTTCAACTGAATTTAAGTATAAGCTTTCAGCTTGAGCCTTATTTTTCAAGGATAATTTCATTCTTTCTTTTTTTGGAATATTGACGAAATTTGAGGCAATGGATATTCATAAATTTTGAAGTCAATGCATTTCATTCTTATGCCGATTTTTATTAAAATTCAAAGAAATTCGATCTTAATCAATTTGATGAGACCACAGGAGGCGCTAAAAAACTTAACGGAGAGGCAGGTGTATTCATCTCAGAATAGTGATTGTGAAATTTAGATTGAAGACAAGAGTATAAAATATGGTGAAGGAATACAAAATTCGTTAGAGACCAAAGATAATCCAAGTTCAAACAAGTGGGAATTCTCATTTTCTCTGAACGTGACATACATTCTTCGATTTTCGTTAAAATTGTTCGGCCACCATATTTTAATATCTTAGTAATCCACTGTAATTCTAACCCGAGGAATTCAATGGTGGCAACCGTTTTGAGGAATTAGATCATTTTTTCAGATTTTTCTGGCCTGAAACCTATTTTTTGGAATGATATTTCGGAAAAAAAATTGTTTAACAATCTTGAAATGATTTTTACGACATTTTATAACCACAAGTTTACTTCCCCCTGTGATATTGGCGAGAATTTTTTTTTCCGCCGAAATTATTCGAATTTGCTAGGGTTTTTTGACGCAAAAAAAATTCTTTCAATTTGCTGGGGATTTTCGCCAAAAAGTGAAGAGCAAAAAAAAAACGATTCTATCGTCATTTCCTAGGGTTTTTCAGAGAAAATTCTTTCGATTTGCTAGGGATTTTCGCCAAAAAAGTGAAGAACAAAAAAAACGAAATTTGGTATTCAAATGAGAGAATTTTTAGTTTTTGAAAAATGAACCCTCTGTGAAATGAAGCTCGCACATTACTGATGCAGATAAAATTACAAATTCACGAAATAATTGCGATTATTCGTGAAATTTTTATGAAAAACGGCCTTTTCCATTTAAAATACATTGCGGGCACTGATTGCCCCGTTTCACGAACAACGCTAGATTTGACATGTCGCGGTTCTAAGGTTAATATTGCTTCAAATGTCCAATGTGCAATAAATTGTTACGATGACTTGCAGTGCAATATGTACGCATATTTTCACTTGTTTGTATGTCCAAGTATGCATGGAATGTATGATTTAAGACACACATACGCACCAACCAAATACTACTAAATCAAAGCGTTAAAGCGTGTGATAACATTTTAAGAAACTATGTTATATGCTATGCGTGTTATGTTGTATTTGGTACATTGCAAACGAGCGAATAAATAATAATGGAATTAACACAAAACATTTTGTATTTTGAACAATTAAATTTGATGATGACACAATGATGACTCTTGATAATACGCAATAACTTAGACGGTAATTTTTGTACTTGAAAAGGACTTACGTCATTTATCATCACAGACATGAGTGAATGTGAACCAAGTATCATATGAAATATTTTTCTTGTACTTAGCTCTCTGTCAAAAGTAAATGCGATTGATGTATATACAATATATTTTATAACAAATATATTTGAATCGATCAATATCAGATAAATTTGCCGAATTGACCATTTATGTACATACAGTGTTCGCATTTGCTCTGAATCGCTCTGAACACATTGAATGAAGTCATTGCCAAATAAATGTTTTTGTTGTTATTTTGTTGCGACTTATCAACAACGGCATATTCCATGTCAACTGCTATTTTATGGAATAATATAGCCGTCGTATACATATACTTTATAGCAACCATCGAATATTCTCTATGCCCACTCGATAACTTTTAGCTACGGAATTATTTGCGATCGCAAAATACACATATATTACACAAATGTTTCGATACATCGAAATTAAGAAAAAAATATATCAACCGATCGCATTCACTTCGTTGCAAATGTCTAAAGTGTTGTGTGGCAAATTGCAAATTAAGAAAAGCGCATATTAAACAAGTTTTACACGTTCAGCGTTGTGTTTACGAGATTCAGTGTTTTTTTCTACGCCGATAAAACCAATCAATAAAATCGAACGCTCTCAATATCAAAACCACATTTATTTGATTTTGATGTAATATTTCTTCGTATTGCATTCGACGATATAAATTATTTTTTAAGAAATCGAAAATCTATTGCTATATGACGGCCTAAGAAGAAAACAATAACATACAGAATATTCTGCAAAAAGACGAATACAAATTTATGTGAGCAAAAACCAAATATACAAACAGACAGCGCAAAAGTAAAACAGCCTACTTACATGTGTTTCTTATGTAAGTAGGCTGTTTTACCTATATATGTTTTTTTTTTTTCGGTATGTTATTGTTTTCTCCTTAGGCCGTCATATATATGGCATTTTGTTTGTTTCGCGCCGTTTACTCAGCCTCTCGGGCAAAGCAATCATCAAAGCAAAAAAAAAGAGGCATAACAGCAGCAGTAAAAATAGTAAAAACCACAGCAACAACACTAGCAGTATTATTGTTTTGTGTAAACTACGACGCCAGCTAATGAGTCATGTGCATGACTTCGAGGAAACAGTGTTTTATCGAAAGCAAAGTTCAGAAGAATTTCATACATACGAGAATTCACAACGACGAGCGTAATTGCCTCATACGATTATCATTCGATCCGTTGTTGTCGTTGAAACTTGTTGTATTCATGTTGCTGTTCTCGTTGTTCTACATAAATTCGATGTTTTATGTCGACCAAGTGTATCACATGATTAATTAATCATTACATCAAATCGAGCGCATACACTCACATATCGATATTCTTCTTAAAAATTCACTCAGTGTCAAGATCCGATAGAACTGAATTTGATTAAATAAATCGGCTCAAGTTCAAAAATGAGTTGTTTTTCTTGTTTGTCACAGTGCTGGTTGTTTTGTCATTTGAGTGAGTGATTGACCGGTCGAACGGTCAGTCGTTTGGCCGTATTTCGTACTAAATCGATTTGACTTATTTTTGTGATGGTAATTGTTCAGATTACGTTCGGTTCTGTTTTTTTGCTGATTTTTTTTTCTATCAAGCTAACGAATGACTAATAGAAAAAAAACAATCAGTGATAAGCAGCTGCGCTGATTAGATATGAAGACTGTGTTATAACTTGCCTATATTATTTCTGAATATTTTCATAATATGCTCTGGATAAATTTGCGATTAAGGTGAAATGTTGACACATTCACATATATACACATACGAACGCATAAATACAAAACTGCACACATTTCCCCCATTGAAGCATAATTGCAGCAATGTCGTTAAGCAAACAGCGAATACATAAAAAACATTAAGCAAACAGCGAAAATGAACGAAATAAAAACAAAAGCATAAAACTTATGTATATTAAATACGAAAATGTATGACCCACAATGAACTGGAGAAAATATACAATCAAGTGCACCGGCGTTAAAGCCGCTCAACTTGAGGGTTATTATCATCAAATTGAAAGTGAAACGTATGCTTGGCACACAACGATGGATGGGTTTGACTGGAAAGAAAACGACACGAACTATAGAAAAGAAAAAGAACGATTATTGAGCATGAGCAAATGAAATTTATGGCAAAAAATATCAAATGATAGCCAAACCGAACCTAATTATTGAATACAGTGCCATGGTATTATTGTTGTTGAGTTTTTTTCGGTCACACATTTTACCTCATCGCTTTGAAATTATGTGTTATAAGTGAGCAGCTTTATCAGTGCCATGAACAATAGGATTGTGATAGTTTTACAATGAAACACTTCATTCTTGGATTTAGTCGTTTAAATTTTTTCACTCTCGTCTGCATGCTAATATTATTGTTTGAATAATATGTGGTTTCTTTATGTCTCTTTCGCATTCAACAGGAAAACTATGCAACATAAAAATTAGCAGACAACAGTTGATCGAGTGAATTTGATACGTCAACACTACACATCTATATCGAACGGGAAGTTAAAAATGTTGATTAATTAGCAAGATGAAAAAAAGAAACGAAATCAATACAATAAGAAGCGTACAAAAGAAGAATTACGTATTTATCTATAACAATCAGTTATCATCGTGTGTGTAAATAATTTTATTGCCTAGTGAACAATTAGACAACGAGCGATTAAGTTTTGAAGAAACATTTATTAATTAACACTTTGAACATATACAAGGCGACGGTAAATACGACCAAGAACGTAGTTCACACACACCGCTGTTCTGTAGAGCAATATTTTTTTTGTGGGAAGGAGACCGAACACATTTTGTGGTCAACACCGGTCGTGTGAAAAGAATGAAGAATATATTGCTCGATGTCAAATTGAGTGGTGAGCGCGAGTGTCTACGACCGTTAAAAGATTATGCAAAGAAAAAAGTAAATCCATTCTAGCTCTTAACTCCAAACACAACACACGATACAAACCAAATCAAATCGTCAAACGTAAACAAAGTGCGTATACGGTTTGGGGCGTGTATGGTATTCATTCTTCATTATTTTAACAATATTCAGATTTACTGGGACGGATCGCGTAATAATAGTGTTTTTGCGCAAACAAATCTTAGAATCACACAAAAGTCGCATTTTTTTCGTGTATGTATGTTTTTTGAACAAAATTGAAGGTGATGTGATACAATGTAATAAATAAAGACCATTTTAGTGAAAGAAGCGGAAAAAATATATCCGCACAGTAAAACCGAAACACAACAAGTAAATTGTCGGCGTTAAGTGTTTATTTTTTTTGTTGATTTAAAATGACAAATATTTGTGTTTACATTTTGATGCGTTAATCAGTACCAAATAAAACGACGCAAACACAAAGAGTTTGATTGATATAGACAGAAGGACAGGGAGACATAGAACAAACAAATCAGTTTCCATAACGAACAGTGCATCATCATAATTTATACATTGCGTTTTGACAGCCAAAATTAAAGGAGAAACAAAAATAATTAATAAATAATAGAGTGTGTGCAATAAAAATGTGATATATCTACAGTAAAAAATATATTATGAATGTGAATGAGTGTGCGTTTTTGTGAAACAAAACGAAAATTTTACGTATGAGCAATTGGTTCTTGGCTATGCTCTTGTAAACCCCCATAAAAATTGGAACGACAATGCCAAATTTAACGATACAGTGATTTTGCCTGACACAAATCTTTTTATTTTTGTTCAATCGTCATTGCTTTTCTGTACTGCAAAAAAAAAAAACTAATTTGTGTGTCCTCCGACGAGTAAAGGCTTTCCAATTACAACCAAAAACATATTGTGGCGCCGAACCACATTAACGTCGGAAAAAAGAATGCCAAAGGAATCATCGTCGACTGATGAACTTCAGCGAAAATGTCACCGATGATATATACTATTTATGGATTTGCGATATTTTTCTTCGTATTTTGGTGTGGCAAGTGGCTATTACACGTGCTTGCTATTAGCTATGGGTACGTATAAATGGGCACGTAAAACTCTTCTCAAACAATGTAATAATTAGTTGTAATAAGTGTTTTGTACAAGCGGAAGATTAATTTCGATTATGTTTGCGTCTTTTGTTTCGATCACATTTTCGGGTCAATTCAATTGTTGTATGGTATAGCAAATTTAAATTACATCGCAAAGTTAAGGCTTCGGTAAAAAAGTCGAAAACATTGGAAATTGAACAAGTCACCGAACAGCAACAAACACAACAGCAACAGAAAAAACAAATATTATCATCAACAACGCCGTCTTTGTCGTCGTCAACATCGACAGCGCTGCCATCATCAACATTATCGTCGCCACTACCATCAGTTAGCGCGCAATTGTCATCCACCACCAATTTAGTTAGAGAAATACAACCGCTGCCATCAATATCAATTCTAAAACCGCTTATGGGTGTTGACCCAAATTTGCAACAAAATTTGGAAACATTTTTTACTATGAACTATCAAACGGTAAGAAACACAGTCTATATGCCACAATTTTCTTTAACGAAATACAGTGGAACCTTGCTTGAACGGAAGCTACTTTTTTACGCTATTGGAGCTTAATAACGGTTCATAAAACTGCCAAATACGCCGGTATATTGACATTTTTTGACATATATTTAAAAATTTAAATCACTTGTTTCTCATCAAACCTCAATTAATATAATTTTCTCTGCTTTCTCTGATTGATATTGATTTATTGACATAGCCCAATTATTTGCTGTTGCTGAGCCTATGACTGATAGCTGAGTCTTGCTGAGCTTGTACGGCTCACGCATACGAAACGGATACACTGTGCAAAGAACGATTCATATTCCCCTTTGCCTTCGTATGTTGGTTGTATGGTATCATTCATGCATAAAATACAACGGCATAAATGGTAACATACTATACTAGCGAACATACGAAGTGAAGGGGAATATAGGTCGGTCGAGCTTCGCTCAGAGTTCGTTTTCACATACTTCAGCGGCAACAGCTTCAACGGCAGCACATACGAAGGCAAAGGGAAATATGTATCGTTCTCTGTACAGTCTCAGCAAGAATCAGCTCTCAGTCATAGGCTGAGCAACAGAAAATAATTAGGCTTTGTTTATTGAAAACAAAAACGGCCTTTTGATCAAAATTGGCATAAAATTTAACCAATGTCATAATAATCCGTTAAATAGAGGTTCTAGTTTATAAAGAAATCGATTTAAGCTAATCAAATGTGATTATTCAAAGAAAAAACAACATTTTAGAAACAAATCGCTGCTGGTATTCAAGGAATGTATGGAATTCGTTTATGGTTCTGGTTTAAATCTATGTGCAATAACTTGTGGAGAAAAAAACAATTGGATTTGAATATTTTGGCTTTAAAAAATATAAATGGCATTTTTGGTCACATTCACGCGAATGAACGACTCAATGCATACGCTCATTCAGAAATATTCAATTAGGATTATTTATAAATATAGTAATGTCGAGACTTAAATATGTGGGCCAATTAGTGTGTGCCATCATCTCCAAATCATTTCTATTGCGTAGTTATATTTGTTGAACGCTAACATTTTTTTTTTTCATGTGAACCCCGTTCGTCATGCTCCAATATTATCAAAAAGATGATGTGATGCATTATCATCATTATAAAATGTCTAAATTTAAAGTCATACAAAAAAAATGATAGTTTTCAATTCGAGGTGTCAATTATACAAACGAAATTCCAATTTCATACAATTATCAGCTGCTTGAATTTACAATACGTACTTTTAAATGTATATAAGTAATTGCAATTATTAACACAGATTATACAAGCATTGTCGTTTTTGACTCTACGAATACTGATTCAATCCAAGAAAATCTAATTGAAATGATTTATAGTATCGCATTCTGTCTCTATACAAGCATAGGTGTGAGTGTGTGTGGGTTCAATTTGCATTCATTCATAGTGCTTGAATGCTTGCAATATCATGTTAACCAGACGGTCAGATATGATAATGTGTATAATGTCTACGATATAAGTAAACATGTCAAAATAGATGTTAAATAAAGGTAATGATGAATTCAGGATTTTCTTCTTTCGACATGCACGTCAAACATGCAACATTCTATCATGTAAATGAAGTGATCTATTTCTGTTACATTTTTAAACAAAAGAAAAATTTAAAGAACAATATTTTGTTGTCTAGTCTTTGCGATAAAACAAACAAACAAAATGGGTTTTAATCGCTTTGATTCCCCTTACGTCTATTCTTGATTCTATTCATAAAATTTCCACGCCACAAACGAACATAAGACCTCTAATTACATTTTGTTGTTAATTGGATTTTTTAAAAGGCAGCTTATGTGTGGAATTCTGTGGCGGCTACAAACTGCTTGGAAATAAATTATTTCAAATTAAGTATAAATTAATCTCCTAAAGAGCAACTATTTAATTGTTGATTATGTTCAGCATATGTTGATGATTTTTCAGCTTAGTTTAGAATTCAGTTGATGTTTTATAATCTAATCGGGCATTCGTTGCGTGAAATGTGATATTCTGATGCTTTTTTTTTGAATTTATTTTTTTAATTTAACAAATTAAACAATGCTCACATTTGCAATTTCTCGAATTGGATTTGCGAGAGAGATATACCATTTCCAAACCATTTTTATATATGCTGAGCCAGTAGCTTGCAAGATTGGATTTCGAAGAGCGGCGATTTACAAAATTTCATTCAATCTCAAAAAACCCTAGAAAATGGGGGGAATTTTTCAAAAGCCACGGAAGTAAACCTCTCTCCCACCGTTCGCACACTACTGGCCTGTGTATATTTCCTTCATCAATCGTTCCGAGGTTATTATCTGACATCAATCAAGAATTATCGCTATTTATCCAAAATATTTCGGTGAATTTTGTTTGTGTAACAGTTCAACATGTAAATGCAATGATCATTTCACATTTAAACTGGTGTCAAAGTTGAAGTCAATAAAGTGTTCGTTGCATATATCGAATACCAGCAGCATTGTTTCCATCGTAACTACGATGGATTTGAAACGAATAAATTATTTATTGCTGCTTCGCAACCATCTTCGATGAATGAAACAAAAATAAAATAATTAACTTAATTTACTTACTTTCTTTCTTTTTTTGTTCCGCTTCTTTTTTTATGCTTGGAAACAACGAACAGTATGAGCTTCTATTTTGTATTGAGGATAACTGTGATCCGGCGATTGACGTTGTGCAAACACTGAGGCAAAAGTATCCAACGATCGATTCGAGATTATTCATAGGTGGGTGGAACAATCGTTTTTCGATTGAAATGAATAACGTCATTTTGAATCAATATACCTATTATTTGCGTCATTAATTATATTGTATTGTGTGCATTTTGTGTCTTCCTCTCTCGATCTTTTCCGTTTTTAAATTTCTTCAATTTATGGCGTGGTATCATTGTGCACAGGTGGATCAAATGTTGGAGTCAATCCAAAAATAAATAACATGCATCAAGGATATATGGCAGCTAAATATGAACTGGTTATGATATCAGACTGTGGTATTCGAAGTAAGTAATCTAACCTTATTAATTGGAAGTTTAAAGCCCATGTTGAAACAAAACAAAAAAAATGGTAATTATTGCTGTACTTGATATCATTAAAACAGTGAAAGAGGATACGTTACTCGATATGGTTGAATACATGACTAGCAAAGTGGGTTTGGTTCATCAGATGCCATTCACGTGTGATCGCGAAGGATTTGCGGCAACATTTGAAAAGGTATGTAGGTGCAAATTATCCAATTATATAATCATTTTCGTTGAGCCGATGTCATAAAATAAACTATCCAATTCTCATCCCTTATCAATAGATATTTTTCGGAACCATACAATCGCGTATCTATTTATCAGCTGATTTATTGGGTATAAATTGTCACACGGGCATGTCATGTTTGATGCGACAAAATGTGTTGGCTGAATTAGGTGGTTTGCAGGCATTCAGTTGTTATTTGGCCGAAGATTTTTTCATTGCACAAGCGTTCATGGATCGTGGTTGGAAATTGGCCATAAGCAGTCAACCTGCATGGCAAAATTCCGGCATTTGTGATATATCCACGTTTCAAGCACGATTAACGCGTTGGGTTAAATTGCGTGTTGCTATGTTGCCCACAATGATCATATTGGAACCGTTATCAGAATGCATGATTTTGGGTGCATTGGCTTCATGGTCTGTATCGGTTCTATTTCATTGGGATGCGCTTGTCTTTTATTTAGTACACATTCTAATGTGGTTGCTAAGCGATTGGCTAATGTTGTCAATCGTACAAAATGGCACGTTACCATTTAATAAATTTGAATTTGTCATTGGATGGCTGTTACGCGAATGCACTGGACCATATTTGTTCTTTAATGCACTATGGAATCCGGCGATACGATGGCGTGAACGGGTATTTCGTTTGGCTTGGGGTGGCATTGCATACGAAATTACAGAAGAAAATGGTAAATCTTCGCTTTAAAAAAACACAAAAATTGATTGTAACTGTTTTCATATTATTTTTGATTTTCAACAGGTGATAATATAAAATGTGCAATTGAGGAGAGTGAAAAGAAATTGCATAAGCCAAGCAAAACATGGCCAAAAAATTTGTTTGAGGGATCAATTAGTATAAGAAATCAAATGCCATTATCACACAATGGTTCATCGAAAGTGGACAGTATCGGTGGCGACGGCGTGAATTGGTGTGAAAAATTGAATACGTTAAGCAACAACAAGTCTTCAATCAACGATTTTTCGTTGTCATCGCAACATCGAAATTGCATTTCGATTTCAGTTGGGATGGATGCCTAATCACATCCGCGTACTCTAAATACCTACATTTCTTGCTCAATGCTGATTATGTGTCTAACAAAGAAAGGATAGAAAGGGCGAGAGAGAATAAAATTAAGCAGAGCTACATTGTTGCATTTCTTATTTCTTGAAAACCGTTTGAATTAGAAATTCGTAATCGAATTCACTGTCAGTCACTCGCTAAATTCGTATCAATCAACGGTATTAGGAAATTGTACCCCATAGGGGTTTTCACATTTACAAAAAAAATCCTGATTATGCAAAGTACTGGTTACCAATTGAAAAAAAGGCAACTGACTGACAATCAAAATACATTTTTTTTAATTGAAGAAATAAAAGAATGATCGAAAAATGAACGCGAGTCATTTGTGCGCTTGTGTCCACAATATGCCAATATGAAGAAACAAAGAAAAAAACCAATTGCAGAGTAGTTTTACCTCATAAAATAGTACTTATTTTTTTTTTAATTGACTCAATTGCTTGTTTTTATGTACAGAAACACATTTTTTAATCACTCTTCATCTTTTCGAACACACTCACCCCTCACAATCATACGTCAACGCAATTGGTTTATCGACACTCAGAACTCTCATATTTGCGACGTTAACCATTTAGAATGGAAAATTAAGCAAACAGAAAAATCTACAATAAACGAGAATCTATTCTTTGATAAATATTTCATGGACACATTCAGTTGACAAAAATCAAGCACCACAGCTCACCTGGGCTGCAGTACTACTTATACGCGAGACGACGACGTCGTCATTTGTTGCTTTTTTTCTAGGAAAATTTATTTGTATCAACGTACATTTATGTTTGATTTATTTTGATTTGTGGTGTAATTTGCCAAGTGTAATTAGTTAAGTTTGTTGCCAAACATTTTAAAAAGCGAAAATGAATTTGAATCCATCAATAAACAGACATTGCAAATGATAATAATTTCCAAGAATTTGCGAAACAAATGAGACAGAAAACAGGAAAAAACCAAAAAAGCAACAAAAATCGGTTGTAATAAATCAGTGTGTCCATAATATATAGAAATATCACTAAATAGTGTCGATATCTATACTATATCGGTCCACTATATATGAAAGATATTGCCGCACGGCACCGTATCGCACGATCGAAGCCAGTGTAGACGGAAAAAATCACAAATTGCCATGCGGCAGTAGAAAGAACTGTGTGTATGCGTCAACATGTTTGCCGTCCGCACTCACTTCTATCGTGAGATACGGTGTCTTGCGGAATATCTTACATATATAGTGGACCAATATAGTATAGATATCGACACTATTTAGTGCTATTTCTATATGTTATGGACACACTGTAATAAATAGATTATTTGGAGTGTTTTTCTTTCATTTGTTTGTTTTTAACCCTCCTGCAGACAGTTCATAATAATAACAGATCCAGACAGTATGGACCTCTCAGGCCCACCGTACAAAATGTATGGAAATAATTTCAAAATGATAAAACCAATATCAATTTTGATTTTTTTTTCTGTTTTTATTCGACGAAAATGAAAAAAACGAGATGAATGAATAGAAACAAAAATAAAAGTATTGAATAAATGTAAAAAAATTAATTGGAATCGGAAGAATCAGTTTTGTGTGTGCGTTTTTTTCCACATTTTGAACACAAAACCGTCATGGTTGAATGTTCACCGCAAACGTTTTTGTTAGATTTGCCACAACAAGTTTTTGTTTTTCGACCGAGTGAAGCTGGACCGAGCTGGACATAAATGACATCGACGTCTTTGAGATGATGAGTTTGTCGATGGTTCTTCAGAGACTTCTGAAATTTTCAAATGTTAGCGAACTTGATTCAAAACTACTGATGTTCCATGTCCATGCCACGAGTCGATCTGCGAGCAATTTGATCGTAAACTAATGATTCAGACAGTTCAAGTAGAAATTTTTGTACTTGTATATACAAAGTTTAACTCAATAAAGTATGTAACATAATTTATGTTACTTTCGTAATTTATATTGCGAACTCAAAAAAAGCCTTCCACTAACAGAGCTAAATGAAATATTCGTTCACCAAAGAAAATAAGAAAACTGAACGGACGTTTTATTGCTACTATTTCATATGTATTATACACGAGTCCGTTGTGGTCGCGACCGCATTAGTATGCGCAGTCATCACACATTGAATTTTTTTCGGACATACGCACCACCTATACGGCTACGCTACTGTGTCCGATCTTCACTTATGTGCAGCTATTGAATTCGTATAAAACCATTGGAGACAGAAAACAGAAAAAAAATAGAATTTGTTTGCAAAATTTTCTCTAAATACATGGATTTCCATACATTTTGTATGGTGAGCCTGAAAGGCCCATACTGTCTGGTTGAAGTGAGATTTTGGTTTTTGTCGAATAACAATTTTTTATAATTTAATATTTTACCGTTATATATTTTTTTATTTATGTATCGATATCATTAGCTTAACGCGCAAGTTTCAAGAAAATTGATTTAGTAGTTTGGATTTTATTCAATTTTTTATGAGTTGCTGGGCCTCATAGACCCATTCTGTCTGCAGGAGGGTTAAATTGGCGTCAAACACTGTCCGACAAAAACAATCATCTTTTGAATGGGGAATATTCCTCTTTGATTTCCATTTAATGCGTTACTGGGAGAGACAACATTGAAATATTTTCTCAACTTGTGTCGCGACTTTGATAGCACCCAAAATTAGATTTAATTATTAAAAGAAAAAAAAAACAGATAAACTCTCTCATTTAATACACACACAGAGAGACGCAAATACATAATATGTGTCCCCTCCATTGAAATTGTTCCATTTTATCATGTATAATTAATAGAAATTCAAATATATTGGCAAATGGAAATTTAAAGAAGAAAATAAAGCGAAATATTAGTATATCAACGTTCAAAATATTTGTTTTTTGACAGTTTTTTCCCAGTTTTTACCAATAGATGGTAAGATGGTACACATTTGGCGGAGTATTTTTTTCTTCTTCCATATATAGTATAAAGCACCGCGTATGAAAATTGGGAAAACTGGTATAGAACTCTAAAAAACAAGGGTAAAACCGCTTGTTTAACGTTTCTAACTTACCTTTAGGCGCGAAATGCGTTGAACACAGTGTTGCTGTCTCTGAGAGAGAGAGTTTGATCCAAATATGATGATACTGTGCAGTACTGCCCTTGGCTAATGCCATCTTGATAATGCGATTATTTTGCTATCGTTTGGTTACATTTGGACAGTGGCATTGTTTTCAATTGTGTTTTCAGCAGAATATTTGATGTATTCAAATCTAATATTAAAGAATAACCAAATTTATGTTGTGCTTCAAGGATTTTGACATACATTACAACTCACTTTTGGCTGTTGTTCTTCCCAAGCAGTCACAATCAACGGCACATCAACGTGCATGTCATTTGAATCAGTTTGAAGGCATGCGGGCGAAATAGTATATTTGAAAGAAATTTCCTGTGTCACTCGAATTAATGCAATGGATGTTTTATTATCTTCTGTTTCGAAGAAAATGATTTTGCTTTAATCAAAGTAAATGATAAGACTGATAAACTATAAATAAGAAACCAAAAGTTGTTGATTTGTTTTAAGTATCTACTGATTTCGTTAGGTTTCTTACTTATGGATCAGGTTTGTATTTGATGATTACTATTGTAATTTTTTATTCTTTTTTACCTTAATGTTACAGTTTTCTGGTTTTTCATTATCATCGCTTAGAGTATTCTGTTTCTGAATGAAAAAAAAAATGAAACATCAGACATGAGTTAACATTTTTACTCACTCTTCCCAATCGAACGACATCTGGTCGAGGATCTGATGCACAATGAGCAGCGGTTAGTATGAAATGTTCCGACATTATTGTACCTGCACAATCAAAGGTCACTTTATAATCATCGTGTAAATAACCCAAAGCCGCCTGGAATTAATAAAAGTGAATAGTTTTATAAACGCAAATATAGTAACATGTATTGCTTACTATCCAAGGGAACTCATCCGAAGTAGTATTTTTGCTATTTAAAATGCGAACATTTATGAAAAATTGTGAGGATGCTTCGCATGCCAAATTAACAATATTTAGTTTTTATCAATTCGTTAAAAAGAACGCGTTCAAAAATCAATCAATATATTTAAACAAATGATTACCCCATTCTGATGGTCGTCTCTTGAGAAATTCAATAATTTTCTTTTTTCCTGTGCAAAAATGAGGTGAAAATTCTGTATTAAATCCAGTCAAATGTAACCAATATTGTTGTAATAAATATCTTTACCTGCGATCGCTGTGTCTTTGTTTTGATTTTTCGAATTGACGTGGGCTCCTTTTCTCACTAAAATTTCCACAATATTCTCAAAGCCTGAAAAGAAATTAAGATAATGAAAAAGGGAAAAAAAGAAATTAATTCTCTTTAGAATAATAATATACCATTTTGAACAAAGCACGACGACAATTGCAGCTGAGCAACTTCGTTATCACTGTTTATGTTGGGTGGCACCTATTTGTACCATTTTTGATTCAGGCGATCGAAATTTGTGCCATTTTTTAGTTTCGCTGGCAACCGCACCATGGCGCTACTGTCAACGTTGCTTGTCATCGTTGCGCATTGATTTTGAGTGGCCACGTGTAGTGCCGAGGAAGTGGCCACGTCTTGTGGTGACCATCCATTTCGATCCTGTTTACGTCAACTCTCTTTTCGACTAACATTTTAATGATATTTTCAAAGTATGTGTATTAAATGGGAAAATCGTGTCATTTGGTTTACCTAGAAAAGGAAATTTTATTGATATCAACCTGCCAAAGTGGCGATGTATAATGGTGTTTGTTCACGATTTTCGGGAAGATTAACATTCGCACCATGACTCAATAACATTTGAAACAGTTTATCGTGACCTGGAAGAAAAAATCATTCTAATCAGAGCATGAATTTGTTACTCATGAAAAGCGCGCTTGCTGGGAGCCGCTCCTAGCTCTGAATGTGTTAGTGTGACTAAAGTTGTTTGTATTATTTTGTACTGTATACTAATACGAACTCAGGAGCCACTCCTGACAAGTACATTTCGCTCTTCTGAGACGCTGCGCCCGCTAAGCAGGTGCGTTCTTCACAAGCGCGATTACATGCTCTGATTCTAATTCATCAAACTTCTTTTAGATTTAGATTTAGATTTATTATCACCGCCAAGTACTAATGTAATATAAATATAATATAATTTTCAATTAATAGATATATATAATAAATAGATATATATAATAATAATAATTTGAAGCCTGTGAATCATAATAAATTAATAAATTTTGATAGTGTAACAAAAGCCTACCGAAACTCTTAGCCGTAAACAATGCCGATTCTCGATTATTGACATTGGCACCATTTGTGAGTAGCAACTCAGCAACTAGGGGGAATTATCTATACGTTTATACGGTTTATACTCAAGTATTT